AGCTAAAAAAGAAGAAAATGATGGTGAGCTTACGGCGAATGTTAAGGAAAATAATTAACATCAAGACAAAAACATTAAAGGTAAAGACCAGTTATGGTCATGCGATTGCATTGTGAAAGAAACGTTGTGGAATCGATCAGAAAAAGGTTGATCATCTAGCATCTAGCATCTGCAAGGTTCTGGAATCATCAAAATGATAAGAAATTCGGCCCATTCTTCGTAAAGTTACAAGCACTATACACAGAAAGATGTATATGGGACTACCCTATATCTCTCACAGACCATGAGAGAAACAAATTTACCAAATATATGAATTAGTAGGCGGTTTCCTGGCAAATTTTGTATCATCATGTATTAGTCAAAACATATTCTTTCACATGATTGGTAATGAGAGCTTCCATTTCATTTTTTGAAATTGGGGCGTTTCCAATACTGGTCTTTACCTTTAACAAACCTCTCGAATCAAATCGGACTTGCAGTTACGACATGTATGTAACTGAATAATCAAACAAGGATAACATCATGTTTTTTAATTAATCTCTAGAGAAATGTTCGCAACCAAAGTTAAATGAGCTCACGGCCTATAATTATTATATGCTTCATCTTCAAACCATCAAGATTGGTGAAAGGTATAAGTTTTGATAGGTGAGTTGCTTTTGGGTTTAGGGCATAATGTTGTTCTCTCATACAAAATAGGTTTTTTAATTAATGTCTAGAGCAATTTTCGCAACCTAAGATAAATTAGCTCGCGGCCTTTATGCTTCATCTTAAAAACATAATTGTTGGTGAAAGGTATGATAAGTTTTGATAGGTGAGTTGCATTGGGGTATAGCATACTAGGGCATAATGAGTTCTCTCTTAAAATGATATATGTCCCAATGGACATCGGACGAATTCCCAACGATCCTTGTTGAAAGAAAATAAATCTTCCAATGCCCTATTCAAGACATCATCATGACATAGAAAGAGAAGGATTGATACTAACTTTATTTGGTGCTCCCGTAAGGACCCGGTCACCTACCACAAACTTTACACTCGGATATTGCAGCTTATACAATCATTTCTCTGGGTATTAACGAATGTTGTTGTGAAGGGACGCTTTTATTTGCTTAGTCACTGGTTGTTAAAGTGAATATATACGGTCAGTCATAATTAGTAAGCGAGATGGAGTTGCAATATTACCGGCCACTGAAGAGTCACATGAGCAATTGGCCAGATTGTTAACGCTCCGCCCCCCCCCCCCCCCCCCGAGAAAAAAAGGGGGAAAGTAGAAAATATGAAATAGAACCAAAAATCAAAAATACTCGACAGGACAAATGCTATCATTAAAGACTTGCTATATATGCTGAGCATCCGAAATATACAGGTATGAATATGATTACTCCTATTTAAGATGTTTTTTAATAGAAATCTTTAATTTGACAAACTATAGGGGCAAGACAAGTACTTTGGTAGCACGTTCCAATATTTTGGTAACTCGTTAAGATCAAATACATTACATGTTAATGGATTTTTCATTGTGAAATCAAGAAAATTAAGAGAAATAAAAATGAAATCAATCGATAGAAATTCAATGGCGTATATAGTCATTCTGTTAATAATAAAGACTTACATTATAAAGGTTATGGTTTTGAAATGTATTGCGACATCAATATTTTGAAATATGATATTGAGGTACTTATTGCATTGCGGTGTCTGGTGATTATATCGGTGGAAAATATGGGAGAATGTGAAGAAAAGGACAGGGGCGGAGGAGATTTTGTAAACTGCACTCATATCGGCATGTCTACGAAATTAAAGGCTTGTAGTAGTGGGATTTCATGGGAATTTGACACTATTCGGGCGCTTACCCAAAACCCAAAATTGTTGCACCCTCTTGCTGGAGTCATACACACTATGAATATGGCGGACAAAGAAAGCGGACAAAATATACAGTTCCTCAGGTAGACAAAGGAACATCCCTTCACTGCTATTATGTAAAAAGGTGAATATGCATGTGACACCCGTTCTACACATTTTTACATAATAGCAGGGAAGGGATGTTCCTTTGTCTACCTGAGGAACTGTATATTTTGTCCGCTTTCTTTGTCAGTCATGTTCATAGTGACAGTATTGCTTGGAATAAAGTAGACACTCTCACACTGTGTCACGCGTGACTGCATGTATTATCCTATAGACCTTGGTGTGACTTGGTGGTAAGGTGTCTACTTTATTTCAAGCAATACTTTTTTTTTTTGTTTTTTTGTTCTGTTTCTTTTTTTCCTGTATGTGTGTGTTTTAGAAGTAGGCTTTCATAATTTCAAGGAATCCCTCCTTTCTGCCTTTCCCAAATGCGAATTGCATATAGTATTTGTTGCTAGGCAAGACAAACAATATGGCTTGCCCTATCTAACAACATATAGCATTATGCAGTTTGCATTCCGAATATTGAAATACAATTATTCGTAACAGGTGAATGAAATCATTTGAAGAACTCTGCAAAGACGTAGGCATTAAATCTAGTTACATTGCGAAACTGGCCTGTTATGATGCAATACACATGGATACCGACTTCTTACAGTGTGGCTTTGCTTGTATACGTGCACTTGGCTAAGTTGTATCAGAGACTTTCACTGGTTTTATGTAAACGTATATGAACATATCATATTACTCTAGTTTTACTCTCCGATAGATGCGTGCATTGTTCATTTATTTCCTCCTTATTAAGACAAAGTTTAGTTCTGGAGCCCCTTTCACAAAGCCTTTCTTCGATGACAAATTACAAAAATCAGTGAAAAATCTGCTCATAGCCAATCAGAAGCAAGGATTTCAGTAGCTTTTAACAAAAAAGGTCATTCTGTCACTGATGACAGGTTTCGTGAAATGGGGCCCTAGTCTTGCGATTGCATTGTGAAAGAAACGGTGTGGCATCGACCAGAAAAGGTTGATCATGTAGCATATTGCATATTGTATACTGTAAGTAAGTTATATTATTATGTGTACTGCAAGGTTCTGGAATCATCAAAATGATAAGAAATTTGGCCCAGTCTTGGTAAAGTAAAAAGCACTGTACACATATAGAGATATGGGACTACACAAACATGTGGCATAAAATGAGGCTCACATATTTATTAAGCTGTTACATGTCATATTTAGAATATGAAGGCATTTAATTGAAGAGCCATGCTTTTCAGGGAACATTTTTTTCTCTGATGTTCTTCCGCACTTGCATAATAAAAATGAAAACCCTCACAAATCATTTTTCACCTCTATATACATGTAGCTCTCAGAACTCAACCTTCTTTTTAGGGGCACACGTGCTTCTTTGCACGAATTTATTGTAAATGGTAATAAACTATTTTCGTCATACATGTATAATCCAATTAATGCATAACGTCTTTATTAAGTACCTCGTTACAAACTATTTCATTTACCTCTTATAAATAAATTAATTGTATTTCAATAACCCGAATGCAGACTGCATACATTTATGGTTGGTGTTAGGTATAGGACAAGCCATCATATTTGTCCTACATAACAACCAACGTATGCAATAGACCAATTTACTAACATATTCAAATTGTTATGGATGTTTCTTTCTTGGGGACCTATAGTGACGAGTTATTCAATTGACAAGTTATTAATGAATGAACTAAAATACTTGGAATCCAGTCCGCATACATTATGTGTTGCTATGTCGGGCAAGCCTCGGTCAAACATTCAGGTTGTCAAGAACAAGCTTTGTTTAAAATGTATGCAATTTGAATATGTTATAATAAACCGGTCTATTCGCATTCTGACTATTCAAATACAATAATTATTTATAACAAATGAATGAAATACATGTAGTTTGTAATGAGTCACTTAAAAGACTAAATTGGGCATTAATACATTACGAACATGGACTATTGGGCGACAGTAACCCTTTTGACAACTTTGTTTACATTTTTACTCTCAACTTCCCACCTGCAGAAATCGAAATTCTATTTCATGCCCTTATCAAACTATCCATTTCGATAATCATAAATACCCATAAAAAATTGTACAAAATACAATTTTCAAGTAGGCCTAGATAATTAATGGCAAGGCATTTAACTTCACGTTCATTCATTTTCTACGTACCTATGGCGGGTGCTCTTCACAAAAAAAATCATCACTTCGAAACACGTTTTTGTCTAAGCCCTTACATATAATTTCCCTTCAAATATTTCAACATTTTAGATTGATCTTCTTCAAACATTTTAAAGAGAGAAGGGCTTTGTAAAAGTAAACAATGTTCATCTCAATTTTCTTTTGCATGGCGCAATATTGATATTCAGAAAGTAGCATATTCGCTTCGCTTCACTGAAACTTTGAAAGCACGTGTTCTTTTCAACGTTGTATTCTTAATTATATTACTCTCACCTTTCTTGCTTTCTTTTTAAAATTCCGATATCTACTGATATCCGTCTTCTAATAAAACTTCTTTTTTAAAAATTAAATTAGGAAATACAATTACAACATCAGATACAAGTTGTGTCCCTCTTTATACAAGATGATGACATAATATTGTTTTCATCATCATCATTACTACTATCATTATTACTCTTATAATATAAAAAATACATGTATTATACTTTTCATCATCGTTATTATCAACATCACCATAATCATTATTAGGACTATTAATTTATATATTATTATTATTATTACTATCATTATTGTAGTATTGATTATATTATTATTATTATTATTATCATCATCATTATCATTATTACTGCATGTATCATTATTATTATTATTATTATTATTATTATTATTATTATTATTATTATTATTATCAAACACTCCTGTTGTTGGTGTCGTTATACTTATCATTACTATCATCAACATCATCACCACCACCGCCAAAATTATCATCATCATCATCATCATCATCACCATCATCATCATCATCACCATCACCATCATCATCATCACAATCAACATCATCATCATCATCATCATCATCGACATCATTGCATTCCAAACAAAAATCTCACCTGCGTTTCCATCTTGTCCGGTTTGTTCGCTCCTTCCTCATCACCGTGGCCATCTACGGATTCCTCGTCGAGAGGCGCCGACGTGTACGACGTCATCCCCCCGTGACCGAGCACCAACTTCAACGTCGACGAAGACGCAGTTGCCGCCTTCTTCGGGGGCAAAACCAGCACCGGTCCCGCTGACCCTGTCTCAATTCGAGCCCCAGCTCCCGTGGCTGTCGAAACGCTGGTCGAAGTGGACGTCGAAACAGGCGCCGTGGTCATCGGAACGAGTTCACGGTGGTCTTTTTTGTCATGGGACTGCGATTCGAGCGATTCCATCTCGCGTATAGTTAACGTGTGGTGTCTACGTTTGCCATCTGGTGTAAAAGTAGTACTGCGCGCTCCAAAGTTAGGAGCGAAATGGGTGTTCTTCTGGGCCGGGGTGTTCTTTCGCAGACTCTCCGGTACGGGGGCCATGTCGACTCTGTTAGCGAAGTTCATCTTCTTCACAACAATGCTCCTACCTAATTTTTCAAGCGCCCTGAAAGTCGTCGTTTTCGATATCTTAACGCCCTTGATAAGTAAAGCCGCTTGGAGAGCTGCGAGGGAGTAAATATTTCCATCGGTGTCGAGGATTTTCTCGATTAAATTGAGCACGTCTGGTGTTAACTTGGTACGTCTGTTTTGAGGGACGACTATTTTACCCTCTCTGTTTTTTCCACGTCGTGAGTGGGGTCGAACGCTCGCAGGCGATTCCGTAGAAGCGGGAGAATTCCCTTCGGGGTATGGCGAAACGCTAGCCCCGTCGTTCCGGCTCTCCTCATTCTCGTGTTCCGCTATCGTTCCACTCCCGGTCGCCTCTTCGTCTTCGCATCGCATTAGCGCCTGCACGGTATTAAAATCAACATTGAAACCTTCTTCCTGCAACCGTGTCCAAATGATTTTCGGCCGGTCACCCAATTCCGACCAGTGGTAGAGAATTCGGTCGCGAATCTCCTCCGAAAATTCCACTTCAGCCATCGTGAGTTATCAGGCTTGCTTATGGAACAGAAATGGAGTCGTGAAACGGTCGAGAAACGCAAATTCTACGATTGGAATGACCCGTTTCTGCTGTACTGAAATGCGCAGAACGGTCGTTCCGAAACACACGCAGACACGTAATGAACCGTTCGCGGTATACGTTGCATTCTATTCACAACACACAACCATACACGATACACAGACTATTCCTCTATACACTATTTTACACATAATATACATACCCTATCATGTCCGGTCTTTACTATTCCAATAGCTGTGATAATGGAAGTTAATAACAGTGAACCAGGAATATATGACAGGAAATTCCATTATCTCAGTCTCGGAAATGACCTTCTCATTGTTACTTCGCTTTTGTTTGTTTCGTCCAATATTTCCTTGTACCGCAGAACAATGTAGCCGGGAAAGGGAGATGAGTCTATTTAATTATATAGTGTATGTTTCAATTTATATGATTATGTATCGAACAAAACGAGGAAAAAGTTATACATTCTTCAATTTCTTGTAGAATTGAAGTACACGTACTTGCTTGGTCGAAGAGGAAATTGAAAACATGTAGTTGATAACGAGTACTAATAATGTTCTAATATAAAATACGATTAGTGACATGAAGATTTTTTTTTACTAAATCATGTTTCATATAGTTTGCGTTCTTAATTCGGGTTACATTTTCGTGAGCGACTAAAGCCAATAATACAGCCTATATTTGAAAGGGCTCGATATTGTTTAGGAAGGAAAAATGTTACACATCGAAGCATCTATTCCCTCCATTTAGTTTTGTATTGCATGATGCCCGTTGCACATTAATTTCCCTGGCGTATGTCAAAGCATTCTGACTGTGATTAGCATACTTGCATGTAGGGTCAAATTCATTGATACCAGCAAAGGGCAACCTTTTCACACACTCATCTATTAAAAAATAAAATAATATTAATGATAATAATAGTGAGTTTTTGTATAGCGCTTGTGTCTGTCAGACCCATAGAGATATATACTACTAAAGTATATATCTCTATGGTCAGACCTGACATTCCAATTCTACTATTTTATTTTCCTCCCCCCCCCCCCCCCCCCTCTCCCTCAAAACCCTGCTTCCTTGTCTCTTTGTCTCTGTCTCCCTCTCTCTCTCTCCCACTCATATCTCTCTCTCTCTCTCTATCTCTCTCTCTCTCTCTCTATCGTATCTCTCTTTCTCTCTCTCCCTCATAATATTTCTCATCTCTATCTCTCTCTCACTCTCTCTCATCTCTTTCTCTCTCATCTCTCTCTCTCTCTCTCATCTCTCTCTCATCTCTTTCTCTCCCATCTCTCTCTCTCTCTCTCTATCTCTCTTTGTTTCTCTCTCTCTCTCATCTCTATACCTCCCCCCCCCTCTCCCCCCTCTCTCTCTCTCTCTCTCTCTCTCTCTCTCTCTCTCTCGTGTTGTTGTTTTGGCCGTTCCGGTATATTTATTGCCACTTGCTGGGGAGTTTGTGGGAACGAGCCATATCAAGTCAGGCGGGAAATTTAAACAGAATAACATTATTGGGTCCTAAGGATGCACATGTTTGGGGTCCTATATAGTTCATGTCTATCGCCGGAGCTTCATGGAAGGCAGTGAGGATGGTGTGTTAAACAAATAATAATGGATGTAGTAGCTGACATCAGTCGTCACCAGATGATGGCATCAGATATTCATTTTTTAAAATTTTGATTAGGGGGGGGGGGGGTGCGGTCCCACGGGTGTGATGGGGGAGCCTATGGACTAAAACCTAGTTATTTTTAAAGACCTTTTTGGGAGGGTCGTGTGCTTTGTTTACTTAATGACCATATTCCTGCGAAATTTGTGCCGTTTACTTTTTATAATTTCATTTGCTTTCTTCACTGGTTCTAGTCAACAAATGGGTCCAAAATCTTTGAGTAGCAGGCAAGCAATATAGAAAAAAAAGACAATGCACCAAAATTTTGAATTAAAGATCGAGAAAAGATAATTGTCAGAATTTTCATAGATACTATGAATGCGATTTTTTTCTTTTTGAAATGAGATCACAGACAGGTCCTTTTAGTGGGCAGTGGGCTTCACTTCGTCAATAATGACGATAACCATGGAGACGAGATTCAACGTTCCAACAATAGCTTACGACAGGTCGAACGATGAAGTTATATCAAACAAATGACCCGAAAAGATAAAAAGAAGAAAAGGGTAATGATTATCACTTTAGATATTACTTCACCAAATAACTGATCTTAAAACATTAAAGAAGAAACAAAACATGAACTATACAACAAAAACTATAGACTAGAGTTTTATGCAACGGGCCCCGGCCCCGGTCATTAGATTCAATCCGAACGTGATAATGCACACGCTTCGTTCCCTAGGGAATGTTCCGACCAGGCGCCATTTTACAAGCTCAAACGTGCAAATCCAACCACATTCACGTTCGCATCCGACTGGATATCCATCTAACGCCTGCGTGGAGAGTGGCACAGGTAGATTAATGTCTTGCCACATGACACTAGTGCCGTGCCGTGATTCGAACCCATGACTGTCGCATTTCCTGTCAAGTCTTTACACCACTCGACTGCGACACCCCCGGTCCCTCCACTCAGTGTAATTTAGGGTACGCATATTATGCACGTTCCCTCCTTTTGAAAATATCCCCTAAGTCCGGTGTGTAAAGTCTTTTTTTGTGTATGTACGACTACGAGCCGGACTTTGGTGCGTGAAAAGTACCCCTTTGCCGGACATTTTGGTAACACGCATGGTATCCCTCCGTTCACGAAGTGGAGGGGGGGGGGGGGCGGGACGACACCATTGTGACAGTCATATTCTTTGATGAAAAATCGACCAGCGGTCAGTTCAAAAACTACAACAAAGAAACCAACTCGATAACAAGACCAAACCAAAACCTTTTCTCTGAACTTAAACGGTAAGTCCTAAATCTTTAAGCATGTTGGGTCAGACTTCTTAACATCTAAGTCCGAGTTAGAGATTTATAGAAGCCTTGGAAATAGATTCCACATCATTATCGAAATTTAGTCCTTTTCCTGATAATGCAAGTATATCTGATATCCCTCAAGGCAACATGTAATTTCAAGATCAATTTTTTCTGTTTTGGTCAGATTACTAACTTATCAAAATCGGCAAGAATTTTTTAATTTAATATCATTACTTCTTATTGATCAGATCTTCTTATTTTTAAACAAACATTACATTCGCGTCTAGCAGAGACCGGATTATATGAGCAAAAAATCCCACTACGTAAAGAACTTTATAAGTTTTTAGAAGAATGGTTTGACTCCAAACCAACTTGGTCAAAGCACATGTAAAAAAAAAGACTTAACCTTCTAAAATGCACAGCGGGCACCAATATTGGGGCCAGAAATCCGATATTTATTTTTAGTATAAAGGTTTAATCAGATTGGACTACGGTTGTGAGGTATGATGGAGCTATAGTGATAATCTGAAAAAGAAACTAGATTCTATAATATATTCCAAGCTCTTAAAATTAGCACAGGTGCTGCACATCGCACATCTTTGCATGCTCTATAATGAAATGCAATGAAATCCCCTCACAACTACGAAGAAGCATGTTGTAGATAAATACAATTTCTACTTACGGGCTGCAAAAGAAACACATTCCACGAAACGAATATTAGTGCCATGTTGGCAATACGAAATATTTTCAGGGAAAAAAGGCGAATGCCCTTTTATAAAGAGAACTACAGGAAATGAATAGATAATCATATCGAAAAACAAGTGGACTGTGTTCTAAGAAGACCCTTTTGGCAATATAAAACACCAAATGTTTTTACGGTTATTAAAGATCATATAAGTTAGTAAGAGATTTTCATCTACAACAGAATCAAGAATATATGCCAACCAAGTAAATGCAAAGAAATGGTCACATTTTCTTAGAATCTATACAGATGCTCCTATAGGTTACAAGATGGAAGTACAGGTTTAGCTTTTTATATCCCGAAACTGAAAATAAGACAAAGTTAATATTGCGAGGGCTGAACAAGCAGCGATCTATTATGGCTTAAAGAAAACCAAAACCTTTATACTAAGTTACTTTTATTGTAAAGTTTAAGATATTTGAAAAATATCAGTGAAAATTTGAACAAAATCGGGCAAGGAATAAGGAAGTAATAGCTTTTTTTAAATTACTAGTCACTAGAGGGCGGTATTCAATTTGATGACATCATCTGTGAACAACTCTCCATGCCTTTTGTACATAAATTTTCACAATTTTTTTGTTTTCTTCATATTTATTTGTGTTCTTGATCCGACTTCATAACATGTGAAGTATAATATCATTTTGCATTCTATATCTTGCTTTCAGGGGAGTACATTATCTCAATCACAAGAAAGAAGGAAAAACATGAAATTTGAAAGGCATGGAGAGTTGTTCACAGATGAAGTCATCAAATTGAATACCGCCCTCTAGTGACTAGTAATTTAAAAAAGCTCTTACAACTAGGCGTTGTGGCGTGCGCCTGTAATCCAGCTAAAAAGTGGAAGTTACAAACTGATTCAGCCGAGGACGCAGGTTCGAAACTGAGTCACGTCTTTCGGATGGTGACGTTTAAAGGTCAGTCCCAGACGTAAATAATCGTATCTGATTGATACACGTCTGTAAAAACCCAATACACACACACACACATCTTACTTCCTTATTCCTTGCCCGATTTTGTTCAAATTTTCACTGATATTTTTCAAATATCTTAAACTTTACAATAAAAGTAACTTAGTATGAAGGTTTTGGTTTCCTTTAAGAATGGGTAGAGGAGCATTTCCCAAAAGCTGTAGTAATTTTGTCTGATTCTAAGTCGGCTTTAAATAGAAGCATTTAGAAATATAGTAGAGATATATTATGAACAATATTTATGGCAATTAATCTATTTGGAATAGAAGTAATTTTCGAATGGGTTCAAGCACATTGTGGCATAGCAGGCAATGAGGAGGCATATGCTCTAACTAATTGACAAGCGGCTTCAAAAAACAATATTTTGTCAATAAAAACAGACAAGAATCTTTGAGGGATATGGATGATTTTTATAAAATTGTGTGGCAGAAATTATGGGCAACTGCCGAGAAAGGCAGATATCTCTATAACAGTAAAACATACGTGTAATATGATAAAGGGTTTTTTGTTTAGAAGGATGAAAGAACTTTACACCAATTCCGCCTTGGTAAGTGTAAACATAATTATTACAATTACTCAATGAAAAGGCATGATTTTGGCCTTTGTGACAATTGTCATATTTTTGAAATTTTTGAACATTAATGTTGTCATATTTTTGAAATTTTTGAACATTAATGTTGTCATGCCCTAAATATATATGAAAGAAAGAGGAATCGTATGTATCGCTGACTCGATGTGACGAATGCTAATCTAAAAAAACTACTTGGAAAAAAAGAAAACAGCTCAATCATTTCAGCCTTTATATAAAAGGTAGGCCTACTGCAAGAAATAACGAATTATAAGGGGAAAAGAGCATGTTTGTGTCGTTCTTATTCTTGTGCCTTCCATGCCCTTACTTAAGGCCCGCTGCTCTAGGCCTACTTAATTTAGCTACTTGCGCCCTCTATATAACAAACACTGCCTAATCGGTGACCATTGGTCCCCCATGACCCTCTTTTTCTTACGTTAATTGATAGCTGATTTGATGAGGTAATCACCTGTCAGTGACCACGCTGGGTGGTCTAATCCCTCCTAGCCAAACTAGTACAGATCGGCTCAGTAAGGCATCATAGAGATGATGGACATAAAGTCTATTTACGAAGTTTGAATAAAATAAAATAAAATAAGGCAGCCGATTAAAGGCCAAGTCAACTCCAAAAACAACTTACTTATAACAGAAGCAGAAAAATCAGACAAACCAATGTAAAAAAAGGTTTGAGCAAAATCAGATAACTATAAAAAGAAAGACAAAGTTATAAAATTTGTAATGACATGAAAAACTTTGAAAATCACCGTGACAAGACAAATTGGCAACTCACTCATGAGTCTGTGACGTCATTGCCTCACCACGACTTATTGTTTTCTTTATATTGATAATATGAATTTCCAATTTGCCCCTAAGAATATTTTTTCCCCACACCAGCATCCAAGTTACATTGATAATAATATGTTTTTGTGTGGATGCACTAATATAGAGTTATTTTTTCAGTTAAATCATGGAAAAGGTGAATTTTGATGAATTGTTTATATGAGAATCAATAATTATGAATATAAAATATTCAGAAAATTTGTGAATCATATAACTAAACTGGGCAAAAGCGTAGAGCTGCCATAATTATAGAGATAAGTACTTAATAAGCTACAGAAGCGAGAGAGAGAGAGAGAGAGAGAGAGAGAGAGAGAGAGAGAGAGAGAGAGCAGGACGCCCTCTCACACCAAAGCCTGGCGGAAATCATCGACTACAACAACAATCACACGTGTTTCAATGGGCTAGCTGTGAACGTACCGCGGTACCGGTATGTTTTGAAACGCTGCTTGTTTTCGGTGCATTCCAGCTGAGCGGAGTACCGAGTGAATCTCTGTAAAATCTTCTAAAGAAAGGTGAGGCGCATTTTCACATTACATTAAGCAAATTATTTCCATAACTTGATGTTTGATATTCATTTTCCACGCACTGTCATGAAAAATAGGTATTCGTTTTGCTAAAAAGACTGGCAATTCTGCGCCCTGGTAACTCCAGGGAGCTCCGCCCCGAGGGCGCGGGGAGCTCCCTGGAGTTAAATGCCTGGTTGCTTGCTAGCTGTTACTTTTTTAGTGTCCCAGAAAAACGAAACCGAGAATTATCGATGTTTCATCATAACTAATCACAACTATAATTAATGAATGATACATTTCTCTTTCGGTTGTGTCGGTATACTCAAGATTAATTGTAGACCCTAGATCTAGGCCTACTACACCAACGTAATAAAAGTCGATATTTGTATATTGTAAAGCTAGATTCTCTGACAGTACTCTGAGTCGCATAGGAGCATCACTATCGATCCTGGCTGTGTAGTAAAAGCTGTGCTTTTGATTCTCAACATTTCAAACACCACTGTACAAAACTCAACTGATTTCACTAAAAATCGCTACTTTAGTTACAATTAATGACACCTAAATAGCAGTAAAATACATTTTTTTTAACTTACTGATGTTAAAAAGAATAATTTAAAAATTGAAATTGTAAGTCTAGTGTCAAACTTTGCTTACAGCTGCTTCGACATGATTGTGTAGAGTGTACGCAATATTGTGTGGTGTGTATATTTGTGTATAGGTCTAATAATACCCGCCTCACAGCAAGCATGCAGTGCTAGATCGAGGTCAATCCGCATTAGCATTGACTCTAGCTCTCTATGCTTTGCTGGAGTGCTCTGAGTCTGACTCGGACTGATTTCTTATTTGATACAACTCGTATAATAATGATGCATATTTCACACATGAGCATGATGAGTGAATAAAAACAATTTGAAGAGAGGGTACCAAAAAGAAAGACCATAGACTCTATCTGAATTACAAAGAGAAAATCACATTTCTAGAAAATTCATTTTCTGCCCTTTTAATTATCATGTTTATATGACACCTCAATCAGGTAAAATGAGCCAGGACTAACAAACAAAGTTCTGTTTGTCTTGCATACATGCAGTGAGTGAGGTTACACAGCAATGATTCACAAGTCTCGGCAATGTGTAGACCGATCACTTCTGTCTTTTTTGTTCGTTCGCGGCTCGCCTCTGATTTGGGAAGGGAGAGGAGCCGGCCCTAACCCAATCAGAGGCGAACGAATGAAAAAGACAGAAACGATCGGTCTAGACATTGCCGAGAGTCAAGTCAAGTGCATATATATATATCTAGATCCTTGTGACATGGACACGTGTGCAGCTGTAGTAATAGACGACACCTCATCTTAATTCCTACTGAAGTTAAACTTTATCAAGGAAAATGCCGTAGGCATAGTAGTTTTAGTACTCGATCTACAGTGTGCCTGCTTTCACTTTAAATCCAAAACAATTTTTTAATTTTCATTCTTTACTTTTTAGGTAGGCGCAGGGCCATAGAACCTTTGTGTTGCCTTTTGCTCATCTGAATTAACCTCCAGCTCCACTTCTCAACCTACTTGGCAGCTGTCTTAACTCCTATCATACACATTGCTCGAGCATTGAAGAACGGCCAACGCTGCATGGCGGCAACTGCCAAGCCGAGTGTGGCCAGTCTAACTTGATGTGACCTTGTGCTTTGGTAAATTATGCAAGGACGTATATGTATTTTTCATGTGGAAATTCTTGAATACAAAATTGTTTCTTTTCTATTACTTAGGGCGCGTTCATGCTTGATTTTGACGGCCAGAATCAGGCATCTGTTACGCGTTTAGTTTAGAACACGGTTGTGTCTTAGCTCACTTTTGTAGAATCACCGAAAAACGGCGATCACGATCACCGATCGTAAACTCACAAAAAGATGCGTTTACAATTTGTAAACGCGTTTAAATGGGGTCAACGCACTGACCTCTAGTGGGTCTACGTAGCATGCAAAGTGAAGGTTTGCGAATCCAGCTGGAAGACCAATTAAGGCCACACACTGAGAATTGCCTGGGGGAGCCAGAGAAGTAAGCATGAACACTACATCGTGGAACTGCGATCACGATGAGCGTTTACGATGAGCGTTTCAGATCGCTCATTCTGCCTTCAAAATTTAAGCATGAACGCAGCCTTAGTCTACCAAAGTACTATGGTAAGACCGGCTGTCAACCCTCCCTTACTTGGCGGGAGTCTCACGTCATGGCATCGACTCTTCTGCCGTTCCGACATCGTCTTGGATGGAGACTCCCGCCCTCAAGCTGGGCATAAAAAATCCCCTGCATTGTGTAAACTTCTCAAGCCAAACGTCCCGCTTTGTGTAAAAACCACACTGCAAACATGAAATTTGTAGTAGGCCTATACTACAAAGAAAGCTGAAAAGGCTTTTTTCTTCTTTCATTTTTTCGCTTATCAGAAAATTTCTCCTGCCAAAGATTTGCAATAGTTCACAATTGTGTCAACTCAAAGACAAAGCTAAATTAGCAATATTTTTCAAGTAGGAGACTGTACTACTTCTACTAGCACTCTTATCCTGTCATAAATTTCAATTTGTATTTTCTATTAATTCATTTTGTCAGAAACAATATTGAATATGTTGATCTAATTTTATTTTATATTTCCTTTAAACTCTCTGATATCAAAGCTATAGAGGGTGTATGACACTTGAATTCTCAATATTTGCTTAAAATATTTTTTCTTTTTGTCATTCAGTACTGTCAAGGCCAGTCTTCAGTCCCTCAGAGCGATCACAGATTCTACATCCCACCACGGCTCTGTGGAGTGTTCACCAACCTTAGTGCCCAAGCAGATTGTTCTTCATGCCACTAGGTACAATGCACTGTTTAATATGTGTTGTAGGCATATTTTTCATCACCACTTTAAAAGTAAAGGCAATGTTCCTTGGTGATGTCAAATCTTTTTGAGAAACAACATGTACCATTTGTTTGAAAGCCCCACTGTCCTACTTGTAGCTACTTGCTCCCTCTATATAGAAAACTTCCCCAATCGGTGCCTGTTGGTCCCCCATGATCCTCTTTTTCTTATGTTAGTTGAGAGCTGAGTTAATGAGATAGCCACCTGTCAGTGACCTCGCTGTGTGGTCTAATCCCTTCTGGCCCAGTAATAGTGACGGTTTTTAAACATGTAAGATGTAAGTCATCAGGAGCTTTAGATCTTATATTCCTAAAGTAATTTTATGTTCACTCTGATGAATGTGGAAACAATCATTTCTAGATCTTAAAGATAAAGATCCAGGCCGGATTGATATGATTATTTACCAAATATATCAATTAGTAGGCAGTTTCCCGGCAAAATGTGTATCATCACGTATTAGTCAAAACATATTCTTTCACATGGTTGGTAATAAGAGCTTCCATTTCATTTATTGAGAGGGGGGCCTTTTTCAAAACTGGTCTATACCTTTAATATTTTGCTATTGCTAAATGCTTCCAATACGCCCCTGGTCCCCGAACAAATACCCGTTACGGAGATCGTACTTTTGCCATTGCAGCCCCTAAATTATGGAACAGTTTACCTATTATTATTCGTCAATCCCCATCTGTAGAGTCTTTTAAGGCAAGTTTGAAGTATTTTTTGTTTACCGGTAATAGTAATTTATAGGGCAGTTTAATTATCTGTAATGTTATTATTTGAATTGTGTATTATTATTGCTGTATGTTTATTTTACGTTGTACCTAATTACTTGTATGTTAAGCGCTTAGAAACATTGTATTAAGCGCTTTATAAATGTAATTTATTATTATTATTATTCTGTTATTGCTGAACTTGGCCTCATTGTACATCGAAACAACCCCAATATTACATGAAAAGGGTATTTTGGGGGGTTTAATCCACATAATTGTATTGTAATTTTCAACATCATGATTTGCATTAAATTTCCTCAAATATTGCACCTCCTTTCAAAGGTCATTCTGGTGGTAACCTATTTTTTCTTTAAATTAGAGAAATTAATTTCAAATTACCTACCAAATCTGTAACAGAATCATTTATTTAAAAATTAAATTTTTAAAATTTATGTTGTTGTCAAGAAATCATGCACCGTATCCAAAACTTCAGCTCAAATACCCCCCCCCCCCTCAAAATCGGCTCATTGCGCCACTGCTGAAAGACACACCGTCTTGAAGTTTATCATGCATGTGAACCAAATTTGACCAAATTATCATTTATGATGCCTAACTCTGTGAGATCCATTTTAAGTCATTTTTGAAGTTCTTTCTGTAATCTGGGTCTTCATCTTATAATACTTTATTAAGGGTAAAGACCAGTATTGTAAACGCCCCAATTTCAAAAAAATGAAATGGAAGCTCTTATTACCAATCCTGTGAAAGAATATGTTTTGACTAATACATGATGATACAAATTTTGCCGGGAAACCGCCTACTAATTGATATATTTGGTAAATTAGTTTATCTATTGGTGTGTGAGAGATAAACGCACGTGTCGCGCACATGTGCGTAGTCCCATATACATCTTTCTGTGCATAGTGCTTGTAACTTTACCAAGACTGGGCCAAATTTCTTATCATTTTGATGATTCCAGAATCTTGCAGTACACACCAATACTTATGTGCTAGATGATCAACCTTTTCTGATCGATTCCACAATGCAATCGCATGACCATAACTGGTTTTTATCTTTAATGTCTGTGTTAGATTAATTTCAGTAAGTTATGCAGTCTAATGTTAGAGTTGATAATAATGTAGTCACATGAATGTGAAAAATAAATCCTGTTCAATTTCCCTTTTTTTCTTTATTTGCTTAATAATGTATTTGAATTTCAATTCATTATTTTTGTTCTTCTATTTTATTGCAGAATGGCGCTCCCTTTATGTCAGCATTGGCTACCAGTGTTCTTCAGTTTGGATGGTGATTTTATAGTGGAGGAGTCTGAAAGTGGTGTAAAACTAAATCATAAATAGCAAAGATACCCTATCCCTTTGAGGTTATTATCCACATTTTTATTCTTACCGACCAGTGTCTTTAAGAAGATAGTTATATGTTTACTTGTGTGTAGGAGTTCAGGCTGATGACATCATGGGGCGTCATTCGCTTGCTCGCATCGCCCATCCGTGCAGGAAATGCTCTGAATGTACATACTGTGGCAAAAAGGCGGAGGTTGAGCTTAAATCTTTTTTTCATATTGTGAACTGGGAGGAGAATGATAAAGACACTCTTCTGAAAGACTTTGGTCTCGGTAGTGATTGCTGCCTATGTAACAGATGTCGTATTGAAATTCGGCAGAGTATGAAGGGACATGTCAAGAAATCAAGGAAGAAGCAGCGTCCTCCCTGCTTTCTTTCGAGGTATCAACTTTGCGACGAAGATAGCTGCACAGAAACGCAAGAAGAGTGGTCTCGAGTTGTCGCGACATTTAATCTCCAGGAAGCGACTCAAACAGAGGTCCCATCTACACTTTCGCTGTGTCAAGGCCATTACAGGAAGCTGATTGACTCCAGGAAAGTAAGGTGCAGCAAGTGCCAACATTTGATCCGCGGAAGGAAAAGAAAGTGTCCGAAGCCAGATGGCATAAATGACTTAAATAAAGAAATTGGAATTCATTCCTCTCGGATGGACAAGAGCGTTGTCTGTTCTGTATGCTACCATCAGTGTAGGCGAGAGATTTTTCGTCACCAGAAACTGAAGACTGCCTCAACGATTCAAGATCTAAAGGAAATTGTCACTTCTTACGAAGAGATGGCAGAAACCACAAAGGATGAGGACTTGGAGACCTATGCATCAGCTAAAGCTGTTGTATTCGCTGGTCGACAGTTCCTGAACAACAGAGCAGTTTTGCTGAAAGAAATCCAGAAGAAGTACCATCAATACTGGCAAGAAACTGAAAGTGAATGTCGGACACAAGAACTTGGGCCAAATTCGAAGACAAACCAGTCGATGATGCTTGACCTTATTGTAGCATATGGTCATCATCTGATATGTGTGACATCCAGAATTAAGTTACATGGAACCATGGTGATGTGGAAAGGCTCTGATGTTACATCCATGCTTCATACTGTCTTGTACGAACAATTGACTAATAAGACAGCGGAAGCAACATCAACATCATCCGTGCCAGTGAAGATGGACCCTGAATCCGTGTCAGAGAAGATGGACCCTGAAAGTACTTCAAGCAACCATGTTTTGTCTAAAGCTGCCCAATTAGGTTGGGAATAGCATCGTCAAGGACAACACTTGATGCCCATAAGAATGCTGCTATAAGGACAGACTTAAATACCACGCGAAGGAAGCGTGACGCAGCTGCCGCTGCTTTTGCATCTGTGGGCAATGTAGACAAAGGATCTCCACATGCAGTTGTAACTGCAGATGGCAAACCTAGGAGCGTTCACGGGACGAGCTACCAAATTTTCCCTCAGCCAACCCAAAATGTTGATTTTGGAGATGATTATGTTTCTTGCAGCCCTCCGCAAGTCCTCAAGATTGTGGAACTTTGAAGGCTATTAAGCTGCCGCACGACTGCAAGAATTTGTACAAGGTGCTTGCATGTAGGAATGATCCTACGTTACGTAATTGCCAACGAGACAGTAATGGAGTTCCGACATCCACCTTCGACGAAGAACTGGAGACGGTCCTTAGTCAATGTTACAAGGTGGAGCTCGTCAATGTCATCTCAGACAACAAGCTTGATGCCTTTATGGAAGAAGTTGGTGAGCTCCTCCCGATGGAGTGTCTGGACATGACTGCTCGTGTTGAGCTTCTGAAGAAAGAAAGTACCCCACCTGCAGAAGTAGAGGCATCTGCCGTGGCATTCGCGGCAAAGTGTCCATGCAGTCCAGATTTTCCGCCTAGGAAGCATAGGCCGATTCCTATACAGGTACAAGGAATTTGGAACCTGTTTTCTAGGTGTGGAACCACTTCAGCTGTTACCGGATGCCCTGGGTTTGATATCCTACTATACAACGAGTTGGCAAGTGGTTCTACAAACCTCACAGGAGATAGCCAATGTCCAAACTTTGAAGTGTTCCAAGTCTGGAGAGATCGGAATGCCTCCCTTCTAGATGATGAAAAATTGGCTCTGCCAATCTCCGTAGCGTTATACATGCAGGTCAGGTTGTAGAGACCTCATCTCCTGAGAACCTTCCTTATCCATCCAAACGACGGAAGACAACAGTTTCAGATATTGACTCTACTAGGACCTCAACACCCTCGCAGTACACACCATCAAGAAGCATAATCCTCCCCCTGAACGAGCATGCTTTGAGTGATTTCTAGCTCCAACCAAATGCAGAATCAGAAGAAAAAATGGCAAGAGAAAAATTGACGTCACTTATCTTCAATAAAGCCGTGACCAGTCCTACCGCTACCCCTTCCTTTAAATAAACATGGTCGCAAAGTAAACCTTGACATGCTTTTATACGACAGCTTCAGGAAAAGATCTGCTCACTGACCGTATGACAAAACAATCATCGCGCCCTCTTTCGGAAAGTGTTCAAAACATTTTGGAAAAGATCTGTTAATTTGTATGTCACTCCATATCATGACTATACCATTTCATTCACCTGAAACGAATACTAGAATCCCTGTGGATGGAATACAGTTTATTTACATTAGTTGTTGCTTTATCAGAAAAGCCTCTGACAATCTATTTAGTTATGTGAACCTTTTGTCAAAAAAAAATGTGCTTAAAATTTGAACACACCGCCGAGCCCACTACACACGGAATCCAAACCGACCAATTTTTGGCCATTCGTTTTAATGTGATTGTTTATTCGGTCTGGTGTCAGCCTGTAGTCGGTCTGGTGTTGGCGTAGCCTATAATCTAGGCGGAGTGCCGAGCTTTTTTCTTTGCTGCTAGACTAACCCTAAGCAGAACGTCTGATACGGCGAGACTACGAACCGTGAGTCGCGAAGCGGCTCACCGCCTATAATCACTGGTCTAGCTTTAGTCGTTGTTTTTTTTATTATCGACCATGAATCCGCGGCAGTTTTCGTACGAAAAACTGCCACGGATTCATGGTCGATAATAAAAAAACAACGACTAAAGCTAGACCAGTGATTATAGGCGGTGCGCGGCTCGCGGTTCGTAGTCTCGCTGTATCAGACGTTCTGCTTAAGGTTAGTCAAGCAGCAAAGAAAAAATCTCGGCACTCCGCCTAGATTATAGGCTAGTGTTGGCGTGAATGATGTAGTACATGTGCTTTCGTTTTGGGCGACGGTAAACTAGGTATTGGACCCGTTTGTGCATGCTCGCCCAAAACGAAAGCACGCCATCTCATTATTACCTTTATACGACAGCGTCAAATTAAAAAAAAAAAAATGATTACTCACCGTAAGCGTATGACAAAATTAATTGCGCCCTCTATTGGTAAATTTTAAAAGCATTTGGTATTGAGAACGTAATCATTGTTGAACATTGAATATTGCACTTTGAAAAACCTCACATTTACTTCTGCACACAACGAACTTTCCTGAAGAGGTACCAAGCAAGCAATAACTTTAATTTTATTAGTTGACACTGTTGGTTCATTGCGGGGATACTGAGTGTGCATGGGGGCATCGGGCTTGATGTACTACATGAACAGACGTATACGGCTGCCGAGCTGGTGCCCTCCTTCTGTACAGCTTGGGGGTATATTGAAAAATACAATTGGGGGGGGGGGGGGGGTGCGCGGCTGATAATATCAAATGAATAAGGCTAAGATCTAAAAGTGGGGAAATTTTTAGGGTTTTCCAAACACAAAATCATATCTGATTTGTTTTACTTCTTTTTTTGTGTGTGCAAAAAAGCGACCCACTTAGATAGATATTCCCGTATTCCCAAATAGGCTGAGAATCCCTTACCCTACCGGTTGTACAGTCCCCGAGGGACATGTAACAATGTAACTGGTGAATGTATCTGTGAAACCATTTGTGAAACCATTTGTGATATTTTTATGTACAACAATTAATAGGAAACGTTTTGCTATTCAAGTTTGCAATGATCAACATTCACCGATTTGAGATTCACAAAATGTAACGATGTCAGCTTTCAAACTTTGATAACTTTGAGACTTATTTTCCATATATCCGTTATGTATCATCCTCAGCATTTTCTCATATCTCTCTCTCTCTCTCTCTCTCTTTCTCTCCCTTTCTCAACCTCTGTCTCTCTCTTATACTGTTCCTGGTTAGGACCTGTGCTGTCTGTATTTTCCCTCTCTAGTCTCTATGCCTCTCCTTTTCACTTCCCTCCAGTCCTTTTTTCTCCTTGTTTCGAACGATCTTTTCCTCTATGATTGTGGAATAGATTTAAGCATATTATTCCCTGCTTACCTGTTAACCAAACTTTATTCATTGATTATGTAGGTGTATATTAAACTGATTCATTTTTTTAAACAAAATTCAATCACTGTGTGTTATCTGTTTATACAATTTGCTGGATAATTGTACTGTAGTTTATTTACGTTTGTAGAATTATTTATGTTTTTACGCAATATACCAAATTCTGCAATTCGGCCATCTGGCTACCATGACCTACCCCCTGGACAACCACCCACTGGATAACCACCCCCTAAAGACAACTACCCCCGGACAACTACCCCAAGACAACTACTCCCTAACAGGCACGTATAGCCAGAGTTTGATTTTTTTTGGGGGGGGGCACATACATGTAATCGATCGAGGTAAAAAACAAAAAAAAGGGGGGTCCAAAAAAGTTCAACCGATCTTGGAATTTTTTTTTTTTTTTTTTTTTTTTTTTTTTAATTTATTTTTTGTATTATTATTATTTATTTTTTTTTTGGGGGGGGCACGAGCCACCCCTCCCCGTGGCTACGTGCCTGCTCCCTAGGACATCTACCCCCAGGACAACTACCCCCTACGACAACCATCCTTTAGGACAACTATCCTAGGGGGTAGTTGTCTGGGGATTAGTTTTCCTAGGGTGTTGTTGTCCTAGGGGTGGTTGCCCAAGGGGTAGGTGTCCGGATATGCCATACCATTACCATATATCATACTTAATCGCTTTAGGTGCTTATCCGATTCAAGCATTCGCCAGTCTGCGACAGTCACCTTACTTTCTGTGATTTTTGTTCTCATTCGATTCAACTTTAAACGAAGGTTGGATTCAACAAAATATAACATGTATTTGAGCTTATGAACTTGTCGGTTATCCAATTTCGTTCAAACAAACTTGCGATAGTCGCATAATCCGATCTGTTTTTCCTTTTCTTTTTCACAATTCAATATGGTATCATGATTATGGACGTTGATTGTTTTGTTAACATGGCTAAAGGAAGTAACGCACATCGCAGGTTAAATAAAACATCAAAAGCAACAAATCCAATCAAACAAACAAACGAACAAAAATGAAAATGGAACTAGTGTCATTTTTCTCATTGGAAGCTTTATCAAACATGATTATATACAAACAAGATCATGGCTTCATTCCGTTTTAGAAAAATAATTTCATGCTTTAAAAATGTTGTTTCACTTAGTGAATAATAAAGCCAAGTTTAAATATAAAGCAAGGTCGGGAAAAAAATCCGAACATATTACAAAAACAGTACCGAAATATAATTTTGGGTGAAAATGAACATTCGAATATAATGCACAGCCTCAAAGTGTATGATAACTAAACTAACTTGCATTTAATTACAGTTTTGAGAAAAGAAAGGATAATTATAGCTAATGTCAGAGAAAATTCGTGATAATAATTATAATCAGGGGGGGGGGGGTGGCGTGCACCTTGATATCACGTTGGTTCAGTTCAGTTAGGGTTCGAGTGAAATCCGATTAGAAAGAAAGAAAAGTTATTAACTTTTGAAGGTGCGACCAATCAAACACAAATTGACAACTATGTAATGTATTTTGGGAGGTCCCCTACCTTTCGCCCTGTACTATTGCCCCCCAAAAACTTTTTTTTTGTTTTAAATTATATTTTTTCTTGAGAAAGTTACATACATTCACCCTAGATATAATTTTTTAAGTGTTTTTAGACAACCCTGTATGAAACAGGTCTATCCCGTCATTAATAACTATGAAATTGTATGTACAGAGAAAAATGGGGAGGAGCTTGCAAGATACGTCACAGTGTTGCCAATTTGTGTTTCACTGATGACAACTTAAAAATTCATAACTGTCCTGCTTTTAATCGGATTTTGTTTAAACTTTCACTAATTTGTTTCTCTCAGTTTTCTGCTTTTATCAAAAACGAATTTGATATGACTGAGGGTGGACTTCCCTTCTAAACAAAATAATAAGACAATGGAAGACTGCAATATCTATAGACCCCTGAAGAAAATTTTCGAAATTACCGGAACAACAGAATATTCCGAAAATATACAGTACAAAAAACCGATTTCATATTATTTACGTGAATATAGTCACATTATTTTATTTTACACACTTAAAGTTATAATGTGAATAACTATTACACTACGCATCAATATAATTATGAAGCAGACAGGTCATATTGAAGAGTGTTCTTTGTTATTTTAGAATCGACGGCTCGACTTTGTTTGGTTAAAAGTAGGAGCCAACAATCTTTCACTTATGTTCTGCAAAGTATCACGCCTAAGATAGAGAATAATTATATGAAATGCATAATTTTACTGAGTAAACACAAACACACGAGACTAAACCCTCGTGTGGATATAATGACGTTTTATCATGCCGTAGGCAGGGACTTGGGATAGTCCCTGCCGTAGGTATCTTAAACACAGAGCTCGGTGAATACACGCCAAAGTCATTCATTTAAACATTAAACAAAATAATGCAGCGGTTTGCCTATTTTTGGGGCGGCCGTGTAAAATGTCATTTCATATTTAAGGCTCTTTTTTCTTTATTGAAGTATTGAACATAACATCCAAGACCTTCAGTGCATTAGAGTTTGAGTTGAAACTTGGGCAACCATAACACCTTGAAGGCACCTTGTGCATTTAATGTTGGATGCGCAAAGGCGAATCCAGGAGAGGTACCCCCCCCCCCCCCCCCCCCACAGCGAACAAAGGGGGGGGGGGGGGAGGGGGGATAGAAAATTTCTGGTCATGGGCTGATAGCCTTTTGCTATTTTTAAACTTTGTATAGGAGAAGTCTTTTTCCACAAAATTGTCAGACTGGCGTTCCTCCCCCCCCCCCCCCCCCCCCCCCCCCCCATTCCCGAATTCTGATCCGCCACTTCTGAGCACGAGTAACAAAACAATGTGGATTTGTGCAGCTGTAATTATATGTGTTCCGAGTTGATTTCACGCTCACGAAATGATAAACATCTAACTGGATGTAGATTTAATCAATATCTTCTTCTTAAGTGACTAAAGAGGTTCGGGGAGTTTAACCGCTTCACTGTACTGAGGGGGAGGTGGGTACGCGGTACCCGGTTGCCTCGGTGAACTGGGCGGATAGGGCAGTCCCGGTGCATTGGGCGGGTAGGCGGTACCTGCAGGATCTGGTGTGTAGGCCGAATTGATAACGGCGCCTTGAGGCTGCCCGTAGTGCAGAGCGGGTTGATACTGGGGAGGATTGATCACGGTCGAGCCTGCCGTCATTTGGGTGCTGATAACCGTCTGTGCCTGACCGGTGGGTCGACCGCCCTGATCTACATAGACCGTTTGTGCTTCGCGTTCTTTCTTTTGGTTATAATAGCAGCAGCATCGGATAATTGCGATGATCACGAGCGGTATCCAAACGTAGAGGTACCAAGAACCATAGTCTGCGAAAACGAAACAAAGAAATATAGGATTATTAAAAAAGCGATACTGAACTGATGAACTATCTATAGCTAATTACTATCCAGTATAGCGACACCGTTACTATATCCAGAGCCATTATTTTGTGTAAAGACGGTTCTGTTACTACCCAGAGCCATCTATAAATGGCTCTGTTATGTCCCTTGCTATAAAGGGACACTATTAATATAAAGCACAGCGCCAGCTCATGGTCAACTTGCCCACATCACCTAATGTCCATGCACTTGACAGGCAGAGGACTCGATGCTAGCACCAACTAGTGAATAACAGTAGGGACTTTTATTTTGCCTGTCGACATAGTGGACTGATACGTGTGACGTCCTTATAAGGCACTGACAGTGCCTTTAAAAGACGCCACATTTTCTTGAAAGAACGTCACGCGTAGCAGTCCACTATGTCGACGTGCAAATCTAAAAGTCCCTAGTGATCGAGTCACGGGCAGAACAAGAGTGGAGGGTGGGTGGGGGCGTTGACGGCAAGAGGGCAAGAGCCGCGATTCCTATACTGACTCGTGTTTGTCAACAATCCTAAAAACCATATAAATACATAAAGAGAGAGAGAGAGAGAGGGGGGGGGGGTCACATCTATACTAGCTGGTAGCTGACACGTTTAGAAAACAATTTTAGACTTTGTCGACGATTTATTGCATACGTTTGAATTGCAGTTTTTGCACTGTACCGCGTATTGATATTATCAAAGTTCATTTCTTACACAAATATTTATAAAAGAGATGGCGGCCCCCAATATATAACCAATCTTCGCATTCATTGAAATTCTTTTCAAAAGCATTTGCCCGGGATATTTATTCTCAGGCGCGGATCCAGGATTTCTTAGGGGAGGGGGCCCATCTTTTTTTTTTTTGCTCCCGAAAATTTGAAAATCGCGCCGGCCAAAAAGTCGCTCAGTGGGGGGGGGGGGGGGGGGGGGGGGGGGGGGGGGGGGGGGGTAGTGAGTACATTTTTTTTTTTTGATTTTCAATTTGCACCCCCCCCCCAAAAAAAAAAGGTTTAAAAAAATCACGTGATTTTACATGATTTTTTTCTCAAGGGGGCCCGGGCCCCCCTCCCCCCCCCCCCCCCTGGATCCGCCACTGCTTATTCTGTACCGTGCTGACACGTAATTCATTCACACGCAATCATTTCCAAAAGAAAGGGGGATTCCCCATCTCATTCTCAATAATCATCGCATTCACTGGTATTCTTTTCAAAAGTCTTAAACCGAGACAAAATTAATCTTCTGTAAACTTCCTCAAGAGAGCTTTACAACTAACCGCATGCAGTTGGTGTCGAAACCATTGAGTTTGTGCAGATAGAGAAGTATTGAAAATGAGTAAACAGCATCCAAAGTGTAGGCCATTTTTTAACATCGAAAAGTGAACAAATCTTAAAGCCCCTCTTAAGGTGTTGGGAGCCCCAAATTTGATGGCAAAATTTTACTTAAATTGTAATCTATAAGACACACTTCTGCAAGGATGTCCCCCCCCAAAAAAAAAAAGAAGAAGAAGAAAGAAGGTGTTTTGAAAGTCCTTGCAGAAAACTATGTCTTAGATGACATCCTCTTTCACATTATGATACAATTCAAGTGAAATTTTGGGGGCTCCCAACATTAATTTAGAGGGGCTTTAAGCGACGGGCGTTACGTGTTATACTGTACTTACAGACGCTATAGGCCATTGCACTGTGTATTACACTGCAGAATAGAATGAAAATAGCAGATAAGGTTCTCAGTGACGCCATCTTGATTGTGTTCTGTAACAAAAAAACAAAAGAAAAACTGGTCAATAATCAAATAGTATCTAGAAGGGGATTTACAAGGGTAATAATCTATTTTCTTTCTGTTACTTCCTTTTCCCTTCTAATGTTATAAAAGAAATTATAATCAGGGGCGGATCTAGCTTTTTGCTAAGGGGGGGGGTTTGACCAAAATAATGACGATGCGGAGCATCGTCCACGAGCCGCGAAGCGGCGAGCCGATTTTTTTGTGGGTGTTTATTTGAACCCCGTAAGTGATGTTTTCCTGGCATCTATTAACACAATGGAGACCATAAAAAGCAGTGCATGATAACGTCTTTTTAAATCAAGTAACAGTTAAATACACACTTATATCCAGAGTTATCATGTGTTTGGTTAAGTTACCAGATGAGTTGAATATCTTCTCACAATATTTGCACTTGAAAGGGTTTCTCTCCAGCGTGCGTTCTTTTTTCTTTTTTTTTTCTTTTTTCTCTGTTTTTTCCCTTTTCTTTTTTTTTTTTTTTTTTTTTTTTGGGCCGCCCAAGGGGGGGGGGGGTTTAAACCCCCTAAACCCCCCCCCGTAGATCCGCGCCTGATAATCTAACTGAAGCATGGAGCTATATTCGACCGCTATTTGGCCTATACTGGCTCATCCACCCTTAATCTGATTACCGCCTCCTCCCCGCTCCACTTTTCCCACTTAATATAGTTCAGATTAGTTAAGTTTATTTCTTTATTTAAAAAAAAATCACACCGTCATCAGACGGCCGGCCTGAGAAGGCCTATGCGTGATACATCAAACAATGACATAGTCATAAACAATTTGATATGGTAACATAGTAGAGAGCTTTACAATGTACTAATTCAAATTCAAAGTTCAGATTCAATTGTATTAATACAAATCCACAAGGTCGGATTATCATCAGACACGAACAAAAATACATTAGGCCAAAATACATACATTGGTACACAATAGTAGTAGTAGTAGTAGTAGTAGTAGTAGTAGTAGTAGTAGTAGTAGTAGTAGTAGCAGTAGCTTTATACAGAGCGAATTTATTTTTCATTTCTTTTCACATAATATAAACGATAACAGATAATAATAAACGTAATGATATAACAGAAATGAGCATTGAAATATCTTTGACATTGTTTTTAAGTCATTGTAATGCAAAATGATTTAATTACAAGAAATGAAAAAAAAAAAACGAACCTACTTGAAAGCAAAGCTTGTTAGATGTAAGTTCGCACAATAATAATTATACTTTATACATTTATAACTTAATTTTGAAAAAAATTACGGAATCAAAAAAACATGACAGACAATAAAAAAAATTAAAAAAATTAAAACGAGACAAAAACAAATCAGAAGCACTAGCAGAATGACAAGAAGATGATGATAAATGAAGAAAATAAGAATGAGAGAATAAAAAGGGGGAAAACATGCAAGAAGAGAAAAAGAAGACATTAAGTCAAAATACACCTTTATCAGGTTCATGGTTGCAAGTAAATTAAAGGTAATTTAAAAGTAATACAATAAAAAAAAAGTATTAGTACATTACTAAGTCTTGTGAAGTTATTACTCTCTTTCTATATTTTTAAATACTTATACTTAATTAAAACACAGATACTACTTTGTTGAATATTGTGCTGCTCTATGGATCAGAGGCATAGACTCTGAAAACAAAAGACCTCAAAAGGTCGGAGAGTTTTGGAATGTGGCTGTGAAGAAAAGATGGCAAAGGTAATTAAGTTTGGTGGATTTATCTATTTATTTATTTACCACTTGTGGTATGGAACACCCTAATCGACGCGAGGGCTGTTTTTTAGAGGGGTCCACTGGATAGAGTGACAAATGATGACTATGTTTCATTTGCAAGTCCAAAAAATGAAAAGGTTAAATTCGAAATTGAAAGACAATACTTATTTAAAACTTCCCTCAAAACGAAAGGGCTTGAAAATGTCTTTAGTGGGAAAATAACGACCATTAGTTGTCAAATCGGCTTAAGTGATTGCAATCACTAAAGTAATAGTCTGATTTTCAGACCATTGTACCGAATTGTCGTACGTTTTCTGCTGCACAAAGATTCAATCAGTTTAATTTTGGCCATTACAAGAAGTGGGTTATTGATGTAGACAAATGTTCATTTACCCTTTACAGATCATGTTATGTATGTTATTACCAAAGAAGAACAAAGCCAGTCAGTCACTCAATAGTGTCTGACGGTGAAGTCTAGTAAGTAAACGGGTTTCCTTGCATAATTTGAATACTAGGACACTGTTAACGTTTAACTTTTTATGTGTTTTATTGAACAATAAATAATAATTACAATATTTACAAGTTGTTATAAAAATATTACAAAAAAGCAGTAAAACGCAGATCAAAACCTCACAAAAAAGTAAATTTACACTCAGATGCAGACAATTAGGCCTACATGCACGTACCGATACAACATTATAAAACAGCATTATAAAACAAACTTCCATTTTTTAAAGTGCAAGGGCAGTTAGTTTTTCTTTTTTCGCAATACGATATTCAAGATCTTTATTATAGTCAATGTAAGTTCTGAAACCCTGAAAATTGGGTATTTTACTTTGAAATTTGCATAAATAAATGTAGTATTTAAAGGTAAAGACCAGTGTTGGAAACGCCCCAATTTCAAAAAATGAAATGGAAGCTCTCATTACCAATCATGTGAAAGAATATGTTTTGAATAATACATGATGATAAAAAATTTGCCGGGAAACCGCCTACTAATTCATATATTTGGTAAGCTTGTTTCTCTCATGGACTGTGAGAGATATAGGGTAGTCCCATATACATCTTTCTGTGTATAGTGCTTGTAACTTTACGAAGAATGGGCCAAATTTCTTATCATTTTGATGATTCCAGAACCTTGCAGATGCTAGATGATCAACCTTTTCTGATCGATTCCACAACGTTTTTTCACAATGCAATCGCATATCCATAACTGGCCTTTACCGTTAAGCATAAGAAATAAATACGTCAAAAACATATCCTTTTATAGTGAAAAATTCACTACTTTATTAATCTTCTGATTAATAGTTTCAATTAACTTTTACAGAAAGGACATACATGACATATTCATAATTCCTGCAATGTTCTACAGAATTTGAGGTTGGCTGCAAAAGGGACATAACAGAGAGTGGAGGAGGAGCGGAGGATGCGGTCTGTAACGCTCATGGGAGGAAATACAGTCAAACCTGCTTTAGTGACCACCTGTCTACAAAGGCCACATTTGTTGTTTCCATTGAAAATGGTTTCTCATTGAATCATGTACTAAAGGAACCTGTCTACAAAGACCACCTGTCTATAAAGACCACTTTTTGTGTTTCCTTGGGCGGTCGCTATAGACAGGTTTGACTATACCTTGATATTTTCCATTATCCTGGTAGGTAATCAAACAACCAGTGGCGCAGCTTGAGGGTACACTGGAACGATTGAGTAAAGGGGGAGGGGGGGGGGGGGGGGGGGAGCGCCTCTTTGAAACTCTTTGAAATGCGAATTTGGAAGGGTATACCAAAAGAGATGAAAAGAGAGTTGATGCGTTTAAAATGTGGATGTACCGGCGAATACTGAGGGTTCCGTGGACAGACAGAAGAACAAACCGATGGGTACTGGACAATTAAGCTGGATACAGAGATGTTGCTCAGAAAGAGCATTGCCAGAAGGAAACTGCGGTTTTTTGGCCATGTAGTATGGAGAGATGGTCTTGGAAAGTCCCTTTATACAACAGGAACAGTGGAAGCCAGGCGAAAAAGAGGCAGACCTGCTATTTCCTGGTTCAAAGACATCAAAATATGGACAGGGAAAAAGCTGTCAGAGGCAACAAGCGCAACAGCAGACAAAGAAGGATGGCGTAAACTCTATAAATAGCGCCACCTGACTGAAGAAGAAGAATACCAATTTCGGGGGGGGGGGGGGGGTGGGAGGTGGCCCAGGCAGGCGTCTTCGTTCTCCACTGTCATTTCTCTCCTACAACGCTTTCCTTTCTGTCTTATTATATTTTTCACCACTCGAGAAAGAGGGGGGATGGGGTCACGTGCCCCCGTAGCCTTCTGTAGCTACGCCACAGTACGAATCATTGGTTAGAAACAATGTGAATAGTGGCTTCCAATATTATTGTATGTATAATTATGCAAATTATACGATCAAAAAGAAAAAGTAGGCCTACGTTATGATTGAAAAGAAAATGAGAGAAACACACAATTCCTATATAAAAGTTGTTTGCATCAAGGACGCGTGTATCGAAGCCACGTCGGGGGAAATGGACATGCAGTATTCTCGACGAAAGAGAAACTTTTACTGGCAAAAATAATCCCCTTTGCTTTACGCTAAACACATCAACTATTTCGAAGGAAAACAAATAGATTTGGATGAGGAATTGCGAATTGCATAACAGAATATGAATAAAATTGGGTATTTGGTTGTAGAAACGAGTGTGATCATTAATAAACGTAGATTAATTTTGTCATAAAATCATACTTTCTGATCTCCTCTGCTTCCAGGCACCTCCTTAAATGTTTAAAAAAACGACCTAAATTTACTGTAATTCCAAATTTGCATCAATCATAATTTTTGAGAAACCCAAAATTCCATATTTTTCATTCACATAGTACTGCAACATTGTAATGGAGAGCGAATAATTCCAAAAAAGTTACCGATTCCGGAAGTAAAAAAAAAGAGAAATAAGGAAACTGATTCCTCATCACTGACAATGTTTCGGTTTGTCGAACTCAGTAGGCCTACAAATTAACCCCGCCATCAGTTTCTTGATACGCCATTCGCGGGGTATTATCAATATTACGTATTTAAAAGGGTTTTTGGTCTTCGTTTGTTGTGGTATTTACGAAGCAAAATTTTGTAGCAAACTTCCTCTTTCACATTTCTGGGTGTATTTACTGCAAACCGCTCTTAGCTACATATTCCAATGCTAAGTATATAGGCAGTGGAATATTGCATGCGCTATTCAACACATTTTCAGTTCTAAACAGCCAATCGTGTATAACTATAGGATGAATGGTTAACAGACAACAATATCTAAATTATACTCCTAAAATATTGACTGAAATCGTTTTTATTAAAATTCATACTATTGACTGCCGTATATTATGTAGGACCCTTCCAATAAGTCTAAGTCAATTATTCGGTTATTCGTTTATATAAAACTAATCGAATGTGCAGCTGAAAAACAAAGACTCGTTCAATAAACAAAGCTAAAACATAATTATATGGCCTAAAATACATTAATGATACGTTTAAAAGAACATAATTTAGCTCAAATATTACCTTTAAGTTATTCTGTAACATCATTGTTATTATCATCATCATTGTTATGATCATCATTATTATTATCATTATTATTATTATTATTTTCATATATTATTATCATTATGAGTTAGTTGCCAACTATTTCCCCGAACTATACTGCCATGACTTGCAATTATTCCGCGAAACGGGAACCAGAGGAAGTCGTTTCGATCGAGCCAACTTTTACAGGATGACAGTGATGCGCTACATTGTGACGTCATCATTTGAACAGGACGTTATATGACTGTATGGTATATGGACGTTCAATTGACTTAAGGGAAATACTGATTTACTTAACAAGCAAGTGCAAATACTAATACAAACATAAAACCATCATGTTCAAGCTCATAGTTCAGTCTAAATGATGGTGGTTATATAGGTTAAATGTTAAAGAAACGACCACAGTTCAAAAACAAGAGGAGGAAATAAAATCATTTGGACGAAAAATGATATTGATCGAAAGCGCAGACGTTCTTGTTTATGATAATGTTATTACAAATAGATATTATTACTATCATAAATTTACAATAAAACATGAGTGTTTATAGCCTCATTAACTGAAACCTGTTTTTAGAAGTTTCTGTCGCACGTCACAGCCTCTAATTATAGCACTTATTAAAACATAAACAAACCATCATCGTAAACACGTACACTTACAAGTGGCAACTAAATTTGCCCTACTCTCGTTAATTTGATGTTTGTGTGTGTGTTTCGTAACTCATGGACTGGGGAGTGTTTCACAAAAACTAAAATGACTTTAAGTTGAACTTAAATATGGCAGGCCTTTCATGCCATTAGTTCCCCTAACCATTCCTGGCATTGGCTTCTCAAAGGACGTATAGGCTACAAATCGTGGTCACAAATCTACAGAATTTACCGTCGGATAGTTCATTATTGAAGGAAAAAATATTATCTAAAGATCATAATTGAGATATCAACAGTGAGAGCAACCAGTGACATAAACAGCATGCCATACTTAAGTCCAACTTTAAGTCGATCTTAGTCTTTATGCCCCCCCCCCCCCCACCCTGGATGAATAATGCGTTGAATGCTTTTAGATTTCGGCTTTGATAATACCCAGAAAAGTCAATGAAATCGGAAAATAATAATTTTGTTCGCATACTTGAAAAATTACAGAACTTGGTGAGGGTAATAATTATGATGATAATCTGGATTTGTTTAGCGCTTAATACTGAATACCGTCTCTAAGCGCTTAAAACATTACAGGTATGATTAATTTAGTTGTTGATTGTAATAGGCGGTATATTACGATGATCTCCGCGATACAAAATCCTCTGGATTTTTACGTTTTTGTACAGGCGCATAACTTGTAATTCAAATTCATTAAACAATTTTTGTTTTCAAGTACGATTCTTTACAATGAGTTTAATGCAGTTTGGTAACATTACAATTATGCACTGTATATGAAATGATGAAACGATTGAAAAGAGAATATTTAGGTCATTTTGCATTGCATTACAAAACAACTTTTTCTGGTACCAATTTCCCTGCCAAAAGCCTACTCATAATGAAAACATAATCGATTGTTAACAAAAAAAAAAAAACCCCACATAATAATGGGTGTAAGGCAATACATTCTGTGTCCTTCGCTGTTTAAATGAACAAATCTCTTAAAATATCTTTAGAGTTATGCAAAGTATATTCAATAATGTCCCTGAGGAAACGCACCCTTTTTTTGGTTGAATATAATATGTCCTAACGATCCAAACGACAATGTCACTAAATCTGTTCTCTGTATACTGAAGCATTAAATAAAATTTGTTTGTTCGTATTTCCGTCATATTAAAAAGAATTTACAGTGAAAGGAAGAAGAACAATATATATAATATACAGTTTATATAAGAAAAACAAATCATATGGCATTAAATTGAAGAAAAAAACCCACAGCAACATTAAGAACGTACAACAAAATGAACAAAAAACAACCGCAGAGAAACAGATTGCTGGCCTAGCCCATGCATTTTCAGCTGCACTTGTATGGGGTCTCCCAGCGTACGTCATTGTGGCTATTCTTTATTTCAAGGGGCATTAGGCACTCATAATACAGCCTAGAATTCAACTTCGAAATATCATCCTAATTAATATTATATATCGTATTCATTTATTATGGGCGTTCCCAACTCAAGCTATGCTTTCGGGTTTTCGCCTCCTTCCGTATCTGAATTATTTACTGTATACTCTATGTTGAAATAATTGTTACATATATCATGTATATATACAGTGTGTTTTATATTGTGCTGTTGAGAAGGAAATAAATGTTAATAAATACAAAATACAAAATGTATAGTTGGTACATGTGTGTATAGTGTTTTGACTATTTAGTTTTACCCGTGGTTAGTTGCTTTTGAAGATTTTTCTTGTCTGGCGTCAAGGAAAAACGTAATAATGGCCGCATTGTCACTGGTAGATTCCGAATTTCATTTTGATACCAACACTCAACAACCCGCAATTCTCCATCCATAGTAACTATGCATTTCCTTTACAAATAGCTGACACTGATATTTCCTTTTGATGTAAATTTGCTTCTTCTGAAGCGACATTCTTTGCAAGATTATAGGACAAACCAGTATATGTTCAACATGTTGATTCACCAAATTATAATTGACAGAGTAATCTACAATAATGTACATGTACAGTTAACAATTTAATTATTAATTCCTCTTTTAAATTTGATGGTTTTTGTGCTTTTCGTAACTCAAAAATGAAAGGTGGACTGATTAAACTAGGGCCTTTGTTGAATACTTTTAGATGTAAACTTTAATATGTCACATTCTCAAGAAACATGAATTGTAAACCCTTATTTTACTATCAAACTCGTTTGTTTGTTTGTTTGTTTCTTTCAATTTTATTTTAATTTTCTCCTCCTTTTTCTTTATCTTCATTAACTCTTCTAATTCTTATTGCTTTTTATCATATCAATGCAACTACTGAATATTAATCTTATATTTGCCTAATTTACCCCGTACTATTTACATGTATTTTATATGTTACAGTTTTATTTGTAAATTCAAGATGTATCAGGTTTTGATTGTGACTTTCATTTTCTAATCAAGAAACCTTGTCAATTCACTTCAGATGGGAGAGAGAGAGAGCGAGAGAGATATATATATATATAGAGAGAGAGAGAGAGAGAGAGAGAGAGAGAGAGAGAGAGAGAGAGAGAGAGGAGATTAGAGAGAGAGAGAGAGAGAGAGAGAGAGAGAGAGAGATTAGAGAGAAAGAGAGAGAGAGAGATTAGAGAGAGAGAGCGAGAGGGAGAGAGAGAGAGGGGGAGAGAAAGAGAGAGAGAGACAGAGAGAGATATGAGAGAGAGAGATTAGAGAGAGAGAGAGAGAGAGATTGAGAGAGACAGCGAGATAGGGAGACAGAGATAAACAGAGAGAGAGAGAGAAGGGGGTAAAGAGAGAGAGAGAGAGGGAGAGAAAGAGAGAGAGAGACCGGCAGACAGAGAGAGAGAGAGAGAGAGAGATGAGAGAGAGAGGAGAGAGAGAGAGAGAGAGAGAGAGAGAGAGATAGATGAGAAAGAGATAGATTAGAGAGAGAGATAGAGAGAGAGAGAGATCAGAGATACAGAGACAAACAGAGAGAGAAGGGGTAAAGAGAGAGGGAGAGAGGGAGAGAAAGAGAGAGAGAGACAGAGAGAGATATGAGAGAGATTAGAGAGAGATAGATTAGAGAGAGAGATAGCGAGATAGGGAGACAGAGAGAAACAGAGAGAGAGAGAAGGGAGTAAAGAGAGAGAAAGAGAGAGAGAGAGAGGGGGGGGGGGGGAGGGGGTCGCAAAGTCAACAAAATGTACAGATTTAAAAAAATCTCAATCTGCATACACCATGCTGATGAGAGAACATAATCGTGTATGATACTACTGTAGCAGCAAATGCTTTCAGTAATGCTGATGATAGAATTTTCAAAAATATATCTAAGAAACAATGACAACTGGAGAGCAAAAAGAGCACATTCTTACCTTTCGAGAACTGGTCAAAATATCAGATGAATTATATGTACTAGATCCTTTCTAAGAGGAAGTCACGCGCCGTGCAGTATATCTCCGTTGCAACTCAGTGCGAGAATGAATATGATTTGCAGCTGCAAATATTTCCCGTTTGAACCAATAAAATGACTAGTGCAAATAATGATGTTCTATTGTCGACTTTGCGCGGTTCATATTGCGTTTTTATGATTTTATGTGGAAACTTTTCGTCATTTGGTAGTTCCGGGTTCGAACTTTGATACGTTGGTTGACTTTGATGTATTGCGAGGCAATGCGAGCACAGAACAGAAATGACGTACATGTATTTTTAGAGTTCTGTGATTGCTAGTGATATACCATTTTCTTTGTAAAAGTGTGGTTTCTGGCAAAACTGGCCTAGCGTGATTCAGGCCTCTGAGGGGAGAGGAAGGGGGGAGGGGGTGAGGCATGCATTGATCTAGTCGGAAAAATGAAATGCGAATCTACAAGGTTACTGACAGGAGAAAACAGGTACATACGAATTCACATGTTTACAAACATTGTGAAAGTATTACAATTTTTTCGTGAGATTTTCTTGCTCTTTCGATAGTGAAAACATAATAATTATTCTTTAAATTCAATTCTTGCAATTCAATATAAGTGAACATTATCAACATTGTTTTTGGTCATCATTAAAAACAACAACAACATCATCTTCATCATCAGCATCCTCACCATGAGCTAGCATCATCCCTGATAGCAGACTGACGTCTTAAAGACGTCATAAATTGGTCGTAAAGTGGTAAACACGTCGTACGTCGTATGGACGACGTAATTACGACGTCATTAGGACGTCTTCAAAAGACTATTTTTTCCAAGATGAGTTTTGTCGCATTGACGACGTCATAACGACGTCATAATGACGTCTTTAAAGGACTAATTTTTTCAATATATTTTTTGTCTTCTCGACGACGTCATTACGACGTCTTTAAAAGACTATATTTTCCAAGATAATTTTTGTCGTATTAACGACGTCATAAAGACGTCATTTTGACGTCTTTAAAATACTATTTTTTCCAATGTAATGTTGTCGTATTGACGACGTGATAACGACGTCATTATGACCTCTTTTAAAGACTATTTATTCCAAGATAATTGTTGTCGTATCGACGACGACATTATGACGTCTTTAAAAGACTAATTTTCCCAATGTAATGCTGTCGTTTTGACGACGTGATAACGACGTCATTATGACGTCTTTAAAAGATTATTTTTTCCAAGCTAATTTTTGTCGTATCGACAACGTCATTATGACGTCTTTAAAAGACTAATTTTTTCCAATGTAATGTTCTGATAAGTTGATATGTAGACTCTATGTTACTGTAATGTATGATCTTATGTCAGTGATAGTGAGCTCGGACTTTCAACACTTGCTGACAAGATTTGAAATGTATGATCCCATATATGTATTTTTATGTAGGGTCTTGATTGATGGGATGCATGGCATGGGGAATCATTTAAAGCAAAAAAAAGTTTACTCATTTGCCTACTCGTTGGCTGCATGGCTTTAAAGGGAAATATAACTCGAATATGCAACTGCTCTAAACTAAAAGAAAGAAAAATAAGACTGAGAAGCAAACTGATGAAAGTTTTAGCACTAGGACTCCTAGGTAGGACTGCTAAGTCACACCAAAGATAGATAATACATGCAGTCACGCGTGACACAGTGTGAGAGTGTCTACTTTATTCCAAGCAATAGATCTACTACTAGTTCAGAATCATATCCAGACTTTTTGACCAGTGACCCATAACTCTGGCGTGGAGAGAGTCCTAAAAATCTAAAACGTAGGTCTAGATCTAGGACTATCATCATCATCATCATCATCATCATCGTTATCGTCATAATCATCACCATCATCAAAAGCATTTTAATATCATTATCACCATCAACATCATTATCATCATCATAATCATTATCATCATAATCATCATAATCATCACCTTCATCATCAGCATCCTCATCATGAGCTAGCATCATCATCATCATCATCATCGTTATCGTCATAATCATCATCATCATCATAGTCATTATCATCATAATCATCATAATCAGCATAATCATCACCATCATCATAATCATTATCATCATAATCATCATTATCATCATAATTATCATAATCATCTTTAACCATTCAATCATCAATAACAAAATGGTTTATTAAACAACATGATTTGCAGCCATAGGTTGAATTGCACATATAGTAATAGTATACATTATAAACAAGATAAAAATGAACAATGAAATACAAATTACATGGCACAAATACAATTGATAAAAGTGTTGTATACCCGTTATAACTACAATCATCAATATTTGTATACAGATAAATATATTAATTGTTAACAATCTGGAAAAGCTATATTCAAGTGTCATTATTAAAACTTAATACCAGTCTTAAACAAATAGTAATTTATCAAAGGAAACCTCACTCCAAGAAATAACTTTACTCATTCTGAGAGATTTAGTATATTCTTGCTTATTATTAAAATTCTACACGATTCCTCACCAAAGTGAATGAGAGGCATACAGCAAGAATACTGTCAGTTTCTCAGCTCGACAAGGGAATCGCCATATTCTTGATAATAATAATAATAATAATAATAGCCTAATAGTCCACTCCACATTTTATTAAACCGAAACGGAAATTCTTTTTGCCCAATTGATCTTGAGCCCGGCAGCCACTGAGCAGCGCCAGATCGACGTTGCTCTACCCCTTAATGTTGAACGCCTAACAAGGTAGCAACAACTCCCATCTTTTAGCGTCTTTTGGTATGACGCGGCCGGGGTTCGAACCCACGACCTCCCGGTTGTGAGGCGGACGCTCTAGACTGACTGAGCCAACACTCCGGTTAAAATCATCAATATAACGTGACGTACTATAATGTGAAGTCGTCTACCAAGCAAATGTATTCAAATTTAAGGATACTTCCTTCCCAGGTGCGTGTGCATGGTGATGAAGCATTTCAATCACCTGCTAGTAATGTCCTTGTCGGAACACAAATTGCATAAATAAATAAATAAGCGGAGGAAGAACAAGAAGAAGAAGAAGAAGGGTTGAGGGTTTTTCATGATTGAAATAGATTTGTCAACTGCTATATTTTAGTATTTTTAAATGAATTACTTACATTCCCCTGTTATATATTTTTCAACTTGTGCACAGAGTTGGTATTCAGGGAAATTTCAGATATGAAAGGTGTTAGTATTGGGGTGTAAATATTAATAATTTACGTTATGCTGATGACACTATACTTTGCGCAGAGAATGAAGCAGAGTTACAAAATGTATTGGATATTGTAAAAGTCAAAAGTGAAGAGTTTGGTCGAAGCATGAATGTCAAGAAAACTAAGTCAATGATTTTTAGTAGAACAGAGAATAAGCCTAGAATATGTTTGAAACTCGATGGACATATCATTGAGCAAGTCAGTAATTACATCTACTTAGGACAAAATATCACAGATGATGCCAGATGCGAAGCAGAAGGAAAAAAAAGAAGAATAGAAATTGCTCGGAATCCATTTCTGGCAATGAATGGATTATTCACAAATAGAAAGGTGTAATTTGCGCTTAGGTTGAGACTAGTAAACTGTTATGTATGGTCTGTCCTATTGTATGGAGCAGAAACATGGACAATAAACAAGGCCATGGAAAATAGGATAACATCTTTTGAAATGTGGATCTACAGAAGAATGATGAAAATATACTGGAAACGAATGAAAACCAACAAAGAGATATTGCACATGGCAGGGCGTAAACAAATTGCACTAGTAGGGTTAGTTAAGGAGAGAAGAATCAAATACATTGGTCATGTTATAAGGCATCAAAGCCTCTTGAAGGATGTATTGGAAGGAAGAGTGGAAGGAAGTAGACCTAGAGGGAGACCCAGAATCAACTGGGAAGAGAATGTCAAGAACTGGAGTGGATTAAAACTGCAAGAGTGTGCCAGAACGGCAGAAGATAGAGTGAAATGGAGAGATGTTGCAATCAACCTCCGAACAGGGAGAAGATACTTAGATAGATAGATAGATATATTTTTCACCAAATATATTTGTAATCTTCTCAGCTATGATTTTTTCCTTATTGAAAAGTTAAGGTTGTGTTACTGATTTTAAAAGTCTTTCCAACGAAAGCTTGGTGCATGATACATGTACATCTTCAACCGGTAAACGTCACATTTCCAAGAAAACGGCTGCGTCCATGTCATGCCAAAATTTACACATCATGCCAAGAATTTATATCTCTTGTACATTTTCGCAAGGAATATTGTACATAAGAGGGCAGGAATACATCTAATTTTCATAATATCTACACTTTTTTCTTTTGGATGGGTTTCCTTTGATTAATCCATAAGACAAAATTGCAAGATTTGTACCTGTGATTCAGAGTAAAACAAAATCCTCCATGAAATTGAAAGTTCAGGAAAAGGAAAATGAATCATCTCCACCATCATCATCATGATTATAAATAACCCAGGCATATTGTTGCATTATTGCAACAATATGCCTGGGTTATTTATAATCATGATGATGGTGGAGATGATTCACAGTATATCTTTTCAAACTGAACGAATTTTTGTTCACTTTTCCTCAAAATTTCATCAAACTGATTCCTTGATTTTTCTTTCACATCTCCACACACTACCACCCACATATCTGATTTATCGATCTCTGTTCTACACACGCTCTCCACTCTCCAGTCTCTTCATTCAATTAGGAATGGCGGTCACTCTAGAAAAATAATTGAAACATAGGAAAACAATATATGCAAATGTATTATACAATTTAATATGTACCACTGAATACAAATAAATACGACTGTGTACAAATCTATTACTATTACGAAGATAAATTCATCTTCATTTAACAGGTAAATGAAGATAAATTTATCCTCATTTAACAGCTAAATGAAGATAAATTTATCCTCATTTAACAGCTAAATGAGGATAAATTTATTTTCATTTAACAGCTAAATGAGGATAAATTTATCTTCATTTAACAGCTAAATGAAGATAAATTTATCTTCATTTAACGGCTAAATGAGGATAAATTTATCTTCATTTAACAGCTAAATGAAGATAAATTCATCTTCATTTAACGGCTAAATTTATCTTCATTTATCCTCATTAAACTGCGTTAACGAAGATAAATTTATCTTCATTTAGCTGTTAAATGAAGATGAATTTATCTTCGTAATAGTAATTGATTTGTACACAGTCGTATTTATTTGTATCCAGAGTGGAACAGAGATCGATAAATCAGATATGTGGGTGGTAGTGTGTGGAGATGTGAAAGAAAAATCAAGGAATCAGTTTGATGAAATTTTAAGGAAAGTGAACAAAAATTCGTTCATTTTGAAAAGATATTTTAATAGCAATATAGGCCTATATACATTATTATAATTATTTATAATAATTATAAATAATTATAATAATGTATATAGGCCTATATTGCTATTAAGATTATTATTGCTATTATTATCATCATTACTGTCAATTATGGCAATTATCGTTATTATTATTCATCATGATTATTATTATTATAATTATTATCATTATTATGATTAGTATTGTTATTACCGTTATTATTACAACTATTGCTATTAATATTATTATTATCATCATTATTATTATTTATATCATTTTTGTATCATTCTTATTATCTTAAAAACTATCTAATTTACTGTTCAATTATTTGTTATGGTCAATTTTGGTTTTAATTTTTATGTCACCTTTGTATCATTCTTATTAACATCATGAAAATTATCTAATTTACTGTTCAATTATTTGTTACGGTCAATTTTGGTGAGTGCCCCCCCCCCCCTACTCTCCCGCCGGTTCCCCACCCCCCCCCCCCCCCCCCCCCCCCCCCCAAGGCTAAACTAAAAACGAAGAGATCGTTGTACTGGGGCGCCATCTTTCGTGGATAAAATTATATATTTGGCACAACAAATAAGCGGTGAGTTTAAAAAGAAAACTGTCGAATTCGCGTTGCATTACGGTGAGTTAACGGGAAATGGCAATATATCGACATGGTTTTGGACTTGATTTTGCTGTTGTATCGATTATATGTTTAATTTGATGACTGTACCTTAGGAAATTACAGCATTTTGTGATATAATATTATTAGTGTAACTGCAAAATGAACAAATGGTGTCTCACCAGTCCCATACGTTCTATTTTGTGTTAGTTATAACGACGATAGTGTAACTAAGTTGAATTGAATTTCGGCCAGAAGCTGATAAAGCACTTCGTAATGAAATATAGATATATTCTACATGATTTTAGATCTATTGGAAATAATTTCTTCTTCTAGGCTAAGGGAATGTGTCGTTCATATACAGATGTATGATGTAGAACTAGAAGATCTAATTAGACTCTAAGTTGGGTCACTGATGATGACTGATGTCTGTGATGACATGTCTGATGAACGAAGCAAACTTCTTGTATGGTTTACGGTATTACGCACATGCAACCATGATGCAATAAAGTTTGCATAATTTTTGCCTGATAGCTTCAGTTCGAGGTGCAGAGCTATAGCGTAGAGACGGTATTGAGCTGAGCGACGACGTCAACATCGAAGCCCTTGGCCTTGGCAAGCACTGGGCTTAACAGAGGATTCCCGATGATTTGGTATTGGTGGGGTATTCTAAAGTTGGGCCATTTTTCGACAAAATAATTGCAGTTGCAGGTGATTGTTTTGAAGGTACAGTTCCTCTCATTCAAAACCTCAAGCAGGATGATTTTTTTTTATTGCCATAGATCTAGACTATCTATTGTAATTACAGATTCTTTGTAAACCATGTGATGGCTTTACATTTGACGCAATCTTTTTTTCTTTCATCAGAGCCACCTTGATAGTATACCCCAGGAGGCTACCTATTTTGTAAGGTCTGTGGTAATAGTGGGCATTGGTGGCATTTGTTGCATCGGAGCCGACTGGTTTTCAGCGATTAGGCAATTAAAAAGAAAACAATTATGACTCAATCCTACTCACAGATTATGTTTAATTAAACTGTCCCGATTGCTGCCTGACAGTTTCTTTACAGTGCAATATACATGTATATGCATAACCAGTGTTCAGTTTTCTTTAAAACCATCTGGATAGCATCATGAAGTCTATCTCTGTTGTTAGGTTATTGGTATTAGCAAGGAGCTTCAAACGCAGAGCTCTTTGGTATTATTAGCTATTAAGCAAAATGGCAGAAATCAGATTTGATTTAATCATTTGATTTTAATTCCATGTATCTAGTAGGGCTATCTAATTGTGATTTGAGAATCAAATCGACCTTACAAGACCCTACAGTGTTAGTGTGTGATTGAATTACATTTGATACCATTTTACCATTTTACAAATTATTTTTACTCTTCAGAGCCCCCTGGATAGCATCATGGAGGCCACGTCTGTTGTCAGGTCTGTGGTGTTAGCAGCCAATCAGTACAGCCGGAATCAGAGCGATGCAAACCTGGTTCATCTTCAGAGCAGATTGGATGTAAGTCCCCCCCTCCCCCCAGACCAGGGGGGGGGGGGGTGTTTCACAAAGATCCTAAGTCGAACTTAACTCTAAGTTGGACTTAAACATTTTGGAGAGCCATTTGTATCATTATAACCAAAAGCAAAAATTCAAGTATTTTAGACTTTTCATGAATTCCACATCAAGAACATGAAATCTCCTTCATAATATAAAATATGAATGATTTGAATCAACATTTAATGCCTTTTCAAAATAACTTTTACAAATTATTTTCAAAGGTGCTAACGGCTTTCTATTATTTGAAAGTCCAACTTAGAGATAAGTTCAACTTAGGATCTATGTGAAACACCCCCAGTGTCCCATTTAATACAAAGGTTTGCAATCAATTGCAAAACAGTAATGGCCAATCAAGATCATCGTTACATGCAAATATTATTAACAAGGCTGATTATCAACCAATCAGACTCGTTCTGTCTAATTTGCAATTGATTGCAAACCTTTGTTATGGAAGCCCAGGCTATTTTGCGCAATACGTTACTTATGTAAGATTTTAGTATATCTCTATGTAATAGCAACGTTTCTAATTGCATAAGTAAGATTAATTACAAAGTGAAAGGATACATTTGCTGTCGGTGTATACCATATTTCCACACACGTAAATCCTCAATGTTTTGTAGCAGATGGGACATCAGATGAACATATTACCTCAAACTTGCGTGTTGGAAAATGTTTTTATATCATTAACTCATTCTCTGCATTTGTCATGTAATGTATGACAAACTGATCACACATTATTTCACAAGGTAATCTGTTGTTCAATCTAAATGTATGAAGATAAGAGCATTCCATGAACCAAGAACCATAAAATACATACAGGCATGTATGACCAGTACGACAGGCTACGTATGATAGCAGTTATTAATTCAAACCTGTTTTAGTAACCACCTGTATAGAAAGACCTGTCTACCATATAGAGAGTTAGGGACCCCTTTTTTGTTTCCTTTGAAAATGGTTTCTAATGAAACATGTACTAAAGGAACCAGTACATAAAGACCACCTGCCTATAAAGACCGCTTTTCTTGTCTCCCTTTGGTGATCTTTAACTCTTTATCTGGTTTTACTGTAAATACATCACCTTATCTCTGATTTCTGTTTAGCTCCATGTTTTTACTTTGAAGAGATGTAGAGGAGTTTAAGTAGATTCATTTCAATTTTTTAATGGTTACTACTTACTAGACTACCTGTATGTACATACTCGTAGACCTGATTGTAATGGAAATGTTTTTAGCATTAACAAATTGACTACCTCTTTTGCACAGAAAGTGTTCTTGTGCATGCATGGTTATAGAGATGCGAGCTTTTATATTTTGAAAGGAAGCCTCACTATCATTGGTAAACTCTTGAACAATTCATACTTTCTTGATGCAGTAAAGGATAACAGTTTTGCCTTATACAGTCAAACCTGCTTTAGAGACCGCCCTTATAGAAAGACCACCTGTCTACAAAGACCACATTTTTTGTTTCCCTTGAAAATTGTTTCTCATTGAAACATGTACTAAAAGGAACCTGTACATAAAGACCACCTGCCTATGAAGACCACTTTCCTTGTCCCCCTTGGGTGGTCTTTATAGACAGGTTTCACTGTATCTCTGTATTGTTTTTACCATGATTCATTTCTAATTCCTCCACAGGTCTTAATTGGCATCACATCCAGAGACAAGTCTCTGAGCTACTTTTGTCCTCGTCAGCTCCTTCCCAGCGAGTGCTTGACCTGCCTGGTTGACCTTGTCAATGACCCTGCGACCCCTCTTGACCTCTCTCTCAAAACCATGGTCCTGCTCTTCAACTTAGGTGAGAAACAGACAAAGAGTTTTTTTTATCATGATTTTTTTCTCCAAATATGGTTAGTCCCTGAGTTCAATGTAAATCAGGTTGAAGATTAGGGGGATGACGTGCTGTTTTTTCATGATTTTCTCGAATGCCTCGCACAAGCAATCGGCACACTTGGCACCTCGCTCGGATTTCTAAAACCTATTATTTTAAACCTCACTAAAACTTTTTGTTTTTAAACTCTCACTAAAACCTTTTTTTTTAAACTCTCACTATCACCCCTAAGTATTTTTACAAAATCATGTTGTCAGAAACATTTGGATTGCTCTTTAATTGGGATTTTACCTCTTATTTTCTTTGTACTCCGAACCCTTAGAATGCTAGGTAATATTTAGTGGGGCTGACTTTATACAAGGTACATGTAGCTGTATCTGTGTGCCTCTGTCACTGAAGGTAGTGCCAGAAGCATTAGTCAGGTAATTGGTCCACCTTGAAGAGCTCAGCGTAAATACTTCTTTTTCTTTTTTTTCTTCTCTCTTCTAAGCTGCTGATTGTGATGTCAGAGAAACTCTGCAAGTGACCTTTAACCTCCCAGCATCCCTTGCATCTTTCCTGAAAGTTCAGAGGGGTTCACCGAATGATACTGTCATTGGACAGGTAAGTTCATTTTGTGGTGTTGTGTGTGTGTGTGTGTGTGTGTGTGTGCTTCAAAAGATCTGAGAGATAGATATAATTATAGAGAGAGAGAGACCGTGAGAGAGAAAAAGGGGTATGGGAGAGAGAGAGAGAGAGAGGGGGGGGGGGGGGAGAGGGGGGGGGGGGGAGAGAGCGAGAGAGAGGGGGGGGGAGGGGTGGGGAGAGAGAGAGAGAGAGAACAGACTTGATGGAGAGATAGGGAAAGGAGGAGAAAGAAAGAATATTGAGAGAGAGAGAGAGAGGGGGGGGGGGGGGGGAGAGAGAGAGAGAGGGGGGGGGGGGGGGAGGGGTGGGGAGAGAGAGAGAGAGAACAGACTTGATGGAGAGATAGGGAAAGGAGGAGAAAGAAAGAATATTGAGAGAGAGAGAGAGAGAGAGAGAGAGAGAGAGAGAGAGAAAGGGGGGGGGGGGGAGAGGCAGTGAATTGTGAAGTGAGGGTAGAAGAAGACATAGACAAAATTAGTTTTCTGGAATATGTGATATAATAGTCTCATTTGTTTATTGTACAAAAGCTAAATGGTTGAAATCTTTGATTTGTTTAGTTCAAAGGGGGAATGAACCACTCTGATAGTTTCCTTTTATTCTATATTTTGTTAATTCTTGTTTGAAATAGATGCTTTATTGCTACCTCTTCTGACAGGTGTAAAATCAACTTTCATTTCCGGTAACCCCCTTGCCCGTTTGCTATTATTTGCCCAGATAATTTACCATTTATCTGAAGTATTCATGTTACACGCTAAGTTTCAAGAACTTTCTCAGTATTCATTAATATATATATATATTTTTTTCTTCTTCATTTCAGTGTGTGCAACTGCTACAGAGAGTCACCTATAACTACAGAATCATCTATCCTAATAACTATGTGGAGGATTTGATTCAGTTCTTACTAACACAGATGTAAGTAGATGGTTCAACATGTTAATATTGTTGGGTACCTTATCAGCATCTATATCGGTCAAAGAATGAGGCTAATGAGTTAGACATATTAGACTGTAGCTGAAAAAGTGTTTCTTAGCCCTGTACAATGCATGCCACTGTTATTCGTGCATTTTGGTCACACTCCGCAGTCAAGAAGAGTGCCCAAAAGACAACATAATTTGCCTTTCAATAAGACATAACATCTGTTCATAATTTGTGTATTTTTATTATTGACTGAACCAGTTACAAAATTTGGTACCACATAATACACAGTTTATTTAAGGTTTCGTAAACAGAAAGAACACTTTGAGTGCCAAGGTGTTGTAGTATAGTGGTTCATTTACTTGATGCTTACAGAGGAAGTTGAGGGTTCAAATTCCACCCTATATGACCTTTGGCAAAAAATTGGCCCAACATTGACCTACAAGAAACCAACATTATTAATATTTGATCAATATTTCTTGTTTTGATAGCCTTGGGCCAGAATCGGATCTAGTGATGCCGTGCTTAGGTCTTCTTGCTAACTTATGCAGACAAAATGTTTCAGTGCAGGCTCATATCAAAGCAATGGTAAGCAATTTGTTATTGACTGAGGTGGTGATAATTGAAACAGTTATGATATAATTCCATTGTGTAGAATGGGATAATGGGCATAGTTATGGTCATATTTGTCTTGAATTGCATTACAAAGTTACAACAATACCCTCCAAGACAAAGTTTTTCAATACTTGGCAAGGTTTGCTTTGGATTGATTATGATGATAATGTAAATGGGGATGAAGGTCATCATGATGACAATGATGATGGTGATGCTGCTGCTTTTGATGATGGTGGCAATGGTGATGGTGATGATGAGGAATAAACAAGTTACAATATTGGCAATGTGTTTACTTTTCCTTCAAGTAACCCTTTATAAAGTTTGTTTCATTGTTTTGTTGCAGAATAATGTTAAGTCTATCAGTATGACGCTGATCAGATTACTTATCATTCCTGTCATATAGCAACCTAACAAACCTATTCTCCCTCTCTTCGTCTCTCTCTCTCTCTCTCTCTCTCTCTCTCTCTTTCTCTCACTCTCTTTCTCTCTCTCATCACCCCCTTCTCTCTCCCTCTCTCATCACCCCCTTCTCTCTCTCTCTCTCTCTCTCTATCTCTCTATCTCTCTCTCTCCCTCCCTCTCTCTCTCTCTCCCACTCTCTCTCTCTCTCTCTCTCTCTCCCTCTCTCTCTATCTCTATCTCTCTCTCTCTCTCTATCTATTTTTCTCTCTCTCTCTCATTCTCTCTCTCATCACCCCCTTCTCTCTCTCTCTCTATCTCTCCCTCCCTCTCTCCCTCCCTCTCTCTCATCATCCCCTTCTTCTCTCTCCCCCTCACCACTCATGGATTATTTCTAATGGCTGCATTTACATAGCCTTCAAGTAACATTTTTCAACGTTTATTTTATTGTTTTGTTGCAGGATAATCTCAAGTCTATCAGTAAGACGTTGATCAGATTCCTGTCGCATAGCAACCTGACAAACATCATCTTCTCTCTCTCCATCTCTTTTTCTCTCTCTCTCTCCCTCTCTCTCTCTCTCTCTCTCCCTCTCTCTCTATCTCTATCTCTCTCTCTCTCTCTCCCTCTCTCTCTATCTCTCTCTCTCTCTCTCTCTCCCTCTCTCTCTCTCTCTCCCTCTCTCTCTATCTCTATCTCTATCTCTCTCTCTATCTATTTCTCTCTCTCTCTCTCATCACCCCCTTCTCTCTCTCTCTCTCTCTCTCTCTCTCTCTCATCACCTCCTTCTTCTCTCTCTCTCTCTCTCTCTCATCACCCCCTTCTCTCTCTCTCTCTATCTCTCTCTACCTCTATCTCTCTCTCTCTCTCTCTCCCTCCCTCTCTCCCTCCCGCTCTCTCATCATCCCCTTCTTCTCTCTCCCCCTCACCACTCATGGATTATTTCTAATGGCTGCATTTACATAGCCTTCAAGTAACATTTTTCAACGTTTGTCTTATTGTTTTGTTGCAGGATAATCTGAAGTCTATCAGTAAGACGCTGATAAGATTCCTGTCGCATAGCAACCTGACAAACATCATCTTCTCTCTCTCCATCCTGACCAGTCTCTGTCTCAATGAAGAGCTAGGAGACAAGGTAACAATTAACCTGGAGTCACTTTAAATGAGAAACAAAAGGGATTGACATTGTGATCACGAACTACATTTCACCTAGTTTCATAATGGTACTGTCACTACTGTGTATATTTTTTATTTATTTAAAATGGTTTAATTCATCAAAAAACATTCGCGGCCTGAGAGCCGAATTGCAGTTTTTTTTTAAAACAAAGTATACATCAGTGACAAAGTAAAATTACACCTAAAACATATGCATGATAACATTATGGTAGCAAAATTGCAATGCTTTTTGTATATATAATATGTAATTGTGCTTCTACGACAGCTGCTCCGACTACAATTACTCAGTGGCAATTCAGTACATTATTCAAACTCCCAATCCCAACCCCAGTTAAGAAACCTACACCCATATAGAGAAATACCAGTAGTAGCTTTGGCATAGATTTGTGAGTAACCTTTAACATTGTATTATAATCTTAAAGACATCTTTCAAAACGTTTTGAGGGTTTACCAAGTACTAAGTGGTCGTGGAATAAGTTAATGAAAAATTGAAAAAATTGGTCCTTTGACTTCTGATTAATTTTGGTTGACATTGTTACAAAAATTAAATAATAAAAGAAAGCAATGTTGTGTACATTATCAGCAACTCTTTGATTTTCTATTTGTAATTTTGTCTTTCAGCTCTTCAATGCCAGGAATATTAATCAGACATTTCAGCTTATCTTCAACATCCTGATCAACGGTGATGGGGTCGTGACCCGTCGCTATGCCGTTGACCTTTTCATTGACCTCCTGAAAAGCCCTAGGATACAGCAAAGCCTACTTTTGTAAGTTGTCTCTCTATTTCAGAAAAGCATTTTGAGAAAATATATTGTTAGGATTAGTTTTTTTATTGTAAAGAGGTGACTAGACAGTAATATTTCAAGATATTTTCATAAATTACCTCTTAGTGTGTGTACATTAGGTGTGAAAAGTTAATTGTTGACAGTTGGTCGTGGCAGCATTCCCTACAAAGAGAGTCCCAAATACGCCAATCAAACTTGTGTCCTACTTTGATGATACTGCTTGTAGTGTCGGCTTGCATGGTGATGTAGATATACGGTAGGTTTGCGGGTGCACCATGTGAGAGAAAGAGAGAGAGAGGGTTGAGGAGTCCTGAAAAGGACTCTGACTTGGTAATCTTTCTTGGGGGTGTGGTAGTCCTGAAAAGGACTGTTTGTTATCTTTCTTAGCATATAGTTCTAAGGAGAACTATAGCGCTTGGAGAGGATGAGTGGCTCGACGTTTCGAACAGGTTGACTATCCGTCGTCAGGAGTGGAGAATGGCTGGCATGCATGAGCTTAAGTCACAGGGGTGCGGACCCCCAAGAAAGATTACTGAGTCAGAGTCCTTTTCAGGACTCCTCAACCCTCTCTCTCTCTCTCTCTCTCTCTCACATGGTGTACCCGCAAACCTACCATATACTTTGATGATGTAAAACATATCAAATACAGGTGCTGTAATAAATTTTGCATGTTAACAGTTAGATAGTTATCAGTGACTTCTGTAACTTTTTGTTGTTGTTTATCATTTATGTTCAGTATTTTGTTATGATATACATGTACAGTGACACCTGTATATAAAACTGCTCAAGGAAAACACGAAAAATGGTCTTTATTGCCAAGTGGTCTTTATGTACAGGTTCCTTTAGTATAGGTTTTAATGAGAAACCATATTCAAGGGGAAATGTGGCCTTTATTGACAGGTTGTCTTTCTATACAGGTGGTTGCTAAAGCAGGTTTGACTTTAATATTATATTTTCCATGTAGGTTTGAACATTTCCAGCTGTGTATGCATAGAGTATTGGGATTGCTGCCTATACAAGATGAAGAATCAGTTTGCAAGGTAAGTATTTGGAAATATTGACCAGAAATAAACAATGCGTGGGCATTTAATAGCTCGACGTTTGTATGATGAGAGTACTCATTCAGAGATGTACATGTTTTTAGATATATGTAGCTGTTAAATTTACTGAATGAATGAATGGATGAATACAATATTACAATACAATTACAATATATTTAACGTGGTTGACTTTATGTCGTCATGTAAGTACAAAATGTACACGTTTTGGCATCTACAACTCCATTAGCCACCATAAATGTTAACAGAACTTTGATTCATTTGTTTTCAGTTGTGCTCACATACTTTATCTAGTTTTACAATTTTCCATGTCAAGTATCAAGTATGTTGATGATAAATGCTTCTCCAAATGGGGTTCAGTGAAAATAAATTATCATAAACAGAGCTTCGAGATCAACGAGAGAAAGAGGAAATGAAGTAATGAAAATTGGATAAAATATAGGATAATTGTATTTATATGACATCACCCTTACCAAATATTAATCTTGCGGATGATAAGACAGCTTGACTAGTATTATTTCTGTATTTGTAGCTCTTTGAGTTGATGCTGACGTTCTGCGGTGTGTCTGGACTCCGCCCGACGATCTGTCGTAGCATCATGACCTCACCACAGGTCCAGCGAGGTCAGGAAACCCACCAATCAGAAGCCTTCTTTGCCGTGGTGGAGTGGGCCTCGAGGCCGGTCCAAAGCAACAACACGGTCTCAATCCTGGCCCTGGATCTACTACGGGAAGTCTATGAGGTTCGTCAGGAACTCTGTAGAGGTCAAAAGGAGCAAATTCTGTTAAAGCCCCACTGCACTACTTATAGCTATATGCGCCCTCTATATAGCAAACAATGCCTAATCGGTGCTTGTCGGTCCCCCATGATGCCCTTTTTCTTATGTTAATTGAGAGCTGATTTGATGAGATAACCACCTGTCAGTGACCTTGCAGGGAGGTCGAATCCCCCTTGGCCAAACTAGTGCATACAGGCTTTATAAAAACCTTCTCAAGCATGAGGTACATTTATTAGGGTTCTAGCTCTAAAGTCATTGACTCGAAACAAAGTTAGAAATTCTCCAAACTCAGTTAATTCCTTTGCACTAATTTAGACTACAATTGAAGAGGACAGTCTCCATATCTGCATAATGCAAGCACCTACTCCCCTACAATACCCCCATAACTTTACTACATCTTCTTCACAAGGTTTTATGGTCTAGTGGATAAGTCTCCGGACCACAAGGTAAGGGTTCAAATCCCTGCCACAGCTAGCACTAATACCCTTTGGCAAGACATTAATCTGCATTTGCCACACTCAGCCCAGGTGTAGTAATTGGGTACCTGGTAGGATTCATTCCTTGAATGCACTGAGCACTAAGGTTGCCGGAGCTAAATCCGGAATAATAATATCTCAGGTCCTTTGGAAGCGCATAGAGACGTTATATCATAATGTGGTATTGAGGGTTCAGTGACACAAAGACGTAACTCCATATTTTGCCAAAATTAGTATTTGATATCAAAATGTTCAGAAAAATGTGGGCTTTCCAGGAAACACAAAGACTTAACTCACCCAACACCCCATTGAAGTCAATGGCTAGTGAAACATAGACTTAAAAGGCCCAAGTGCTCAGTGACACATAAACCACTTTTTCTCAAAATGGCCAAACTGGAGTTACGTCTTTGTGTCAGTGACCCCTCGATATGGGCTGTACAAGAACAGTATATTATTATTATTTTGTTTTCAGGAGATGCTGGATTCTGGTCTCGTCACCCAGTTCTCCCCTCGTACCGATGTGACCATCCCCATGGCAACCAGATTAGTGCTACCATTGCAGGAGCTAGAGGGTCCTTTCATTAGACACAAACTCAACAAGATCTCAAGGCTCATGTGTCTACTTATGAATATCCTTTACTCTTCACTTTCACTTTCAATTAAAGATAAAGACCAGTCATGGTCTTGCTATTGCATTGTGAAAGAAATGTTGTGGAATCGATCAAAAAAGGTTGATCATCTAGCATATAAGTATTGGTGTGTACTGCAAGGTTCTGGAATCATCAAAATGATAAGAAATTTGGCCCAGTCTTCATAAAGTTACAAGCACTGCACATGGAAAGATGTATATGGGACTATACGCACATGTGCGCAACACATGCGTTTATCTCTCACAGACCATGTAGATAAACTAATTTACCAAAGACAATTAGTAGGCGGTTTCCCGGCAAAATTTTTATCATCATGTATTAGTCAAAACATATTCTTTCACATGATTGGTAATAAGAGCTTCCATTTCATTTTTTGAAATTGGGGCGTTTCCAATACTGGTCTTTACCTTTAAAGTAGTCACCAAAGAATCAACAGTGTTTTGAATTGTTGCAATATTCATATCATTGCGAAGGGGAAGCCTTACTGATCAAAAATAACAACTTCCCTCTTCATGTTTGGGGCCCGCAGTAATCATCTCTCAAATATGTTAATTTGAGATCTAGATTTTTTGCCTTTAGCGGTCCTCAGTAGAGCGTCGAGTTCTGTGACGTCACGTACGAGACACAGCTAGCCACAAAGCAGCATTTTAAACCTTCCATGATATCTATATGATTTTTCAGCATATTATTCATGTTTTTCACAAAAAAATCTTTCCATCCATTCATAATGTGTCCATAATTATCAGTTGGCATGAATTTTCTTTGGGTGACTACTGGTCATGTGATTGCATTATGAAAGAAACTGTTCGAGTCAAGTGTTCTTTTTTTAGGTACTTGCACATCATGACATGACCGCAATGTGCTTGCTTCTTTTGTCTTAGGCTTGTTTCAATTCTATACCGATTCTAATAAATCTAAAAACGATAATGGAAATAGAAGTAGCCAATAGAATACATATATTCATACTGGTGTATCAGTTTCAATTTGCATCATCAGCATCACAACAAAATTGCTGTCTCAATTTTGTTTTTGTTTACTGTAAATGTACTGTGGTTGCACCACAAGCATCCAAATACGGTCAAAGCGATTAAAATACGTTAAGCTTATCTTGAGAAAGTCCACAGGAGTGGACAAAAGCTTGCTTACTAAATGTTAAGGTTGGTAGAAGCTTAAAGTGACTCGGTAACATTGCCTCAGATTCTGAAACAAAATCCTGGATTAAGCTCATGCTGCAATCATAATTATAAACCTTTAGGTCAGTCAGGAATCCCATGACTTTACAAGCCGATCGCCTGTCTGATTTTCAAGATATTTATGATTGGAAATCGAAATTTCATTTTTTGTTTTTCCTAACGTTTTTTTCTTTTTTATAACATTACAGTCTATTGGGGAAGATGAGTATGGTAAAACCGGTCAATCAAAGGATTTTACTTTTCTGAGGCACTTCATGATCATTTTTTGTAGGGCTTCAATATTACATTTTATCACAGACACTAATAACACGTAGGGCCATGCATCTCAGATTTAACATTGTTAAACGATGACTTTAAATGACATGTTTAATATGATTACCCTAACCAAATAACCAATAAAAGCTTTCTGTAACATTAAGCTTTGTTGAAAATCTCTAAAGAATGATATTCCTTGACCAAACCATTCTCACCTCTGAGCCGAGACGAGGGAACAAGGTCAGAGTTGGGTCGGGTCATGACCTTTGACCCCTGTCTGGCCATCGTAGAGCACCAGCTTGATAACAACCAGGTCGGCATAAGCAAGACAACCAGGATGGCTGTCGGAGACTGCGATTGGAGGTGAGAACTCTTCTGCTTTCATTGTGTGACAATATTGTTTATGAGATTTAAAGGCCCTCTGTACTAGTTTGACCAGAAGGGATTAGACCACCCAGGGTGGTCACTGAAAGGTGGCTATCTCATCAACTATGCTCTCAATTAACTTAAGAAAAAGAAGATCAGGGGGACCAATGGTCCCCAATTAGCCATCGTTTTCTATATAGAGGGAGCAAGTAGCTGCAAGTAGTACAGTGGGGCTTTAAATACCACTAAAACGATATTGAAACATGGTGGCAGCGGTGGGATCGAAAGAGGGCAGTATACAGCCTCACTGTTCATAAATTACTCTCTTACACTACACATTGAAAGCCCTACCAGCACTTGTGTCCCTTGGCAAGGCATTAATCTACATTTGCCAATCCATACCCAGGAGAGAAATGGGGACCCAGTAGGATGACCAAAGCTTTTGTGTTAGTAATTTCCAGATACCCTTGCGGTGACCATATGGTAAGAATACTCCTCAGAGAGTGGAGATGGTGCTAATTGTGCATGAATGAATCCGATGACCAGGGTAATAATATCTGTAAAGCTTTGTTTAGACCAGGGAACTCTTTAAGTAAAGAGTTTCGTATAGGTGCGATTCAATTTCATTGCAATTCGATTTTCAGCTACTAAGTGTCATGTATTTAGGACTTTATGTCACATTTGAGTTGAATTTGAATTCAAAATATAATGCAAGAAGCACCTGTTCTGCTTCGGATTCAATGTTATTTCTCTTTGCATTGTTGGTTTTGAAGAGAGACGCCTTTCAAAACACAAATATATTCAGTTTAAAATCTGGTTTCAATTTTCATCTCTTCAGAAAAAAAAGATGGATTGTAATAGTCAGTATAGCCCCCCCCCCCCTTACATACGCACATATACATGTTCACGTTACTATATTTTACAGGAACCATACACTATTATCTGTTCTTTTTAATTGCTATATGACTTCAATCTACTGCAATCTCATTTCTGTGACAGTGATGCGGGTGTTGGAACGATTCTTCACATAGTGGATGTGATGGTGACTCTGCAATCAAATGTACCACAGATAAAGAACACGCTGGTACAAATCTTACAGGTAAGTGGTTGGGTTTAGGTTGGGACAAAAAGAAAAGAAGACACCTTAATAATGAGAGACAGATAGAGAGGGAGAGAAAGAGATAGGAAGGAAGCCAAGAGAAAAAAGAAAAGTGAGAGTGAGTAAGAGAGACGGAGAGAGAAAAGATAGAAAAGTTGATCATTAGATGATGATATGGAGACGGAAAAGTGATGGGATGGGAAAAGAAAGAGAGAACAGAGAGAGAGAAAGAGACAGACAGACAGATAGAGAAAGAGAGAGAAGGAGAGAGAGAAACAGAGAGCAGGGGAAAGGTAACTGCCAGAGTAGTACCACTTCTAATAATTTTTTTTCTTCATATCGTGGATGTGATGTTGACTCTGCAATCAAATGTACCACAGATAAAGAACACGCGGGTGCAAATCTTACAGGTAAGTGGTTGGGTTGATGTTGGGACAAAAAGACATAAAGAGGCAGAGAGAAAGAAAAGAGAGGGAGGGGGAGAAGAAAGAGGGGGGGGGGGTAGAGAAGTGAAAGACAGAGGGGAGGGGAAGAGAGACAGACAGAGAAAGAAAGAGAGAGAGTGAGGACTGGGAGGAAGAAAAAACATGACGGGGAGAAAAAGAGAAAGTGACAAAATAATTTATCGTTATCCTTATCTGTCTCCTTACAGGACCCCAGATTGGTTCCTTTCATGGCCCATGGTCTAAGTTCTCGGGACAGAGAGAGAGTCCATGTCAGCTTGAAGCTCATCAGAGCAGCTTCTACTCTACAAGACTTCCCTACAATCATGTGAGTATCAACCAAATAATGATTCATTCATTTATTTTATTTATTTATTTATTTATTTCTATTCTTTTGACAGGGTAGCCCATTTACCAACACGTAGTGGTCTTCCATGGGGCCCTGAATGAACATATTTACATCGTTTATAACATTTATACAAAACAGTTACAAAAATAATACTCGTTTGCAAAATAAACATATATCATTAACCTAGTAAACAGTAATGTCAATAGGAAAATATTAATTAAGTCGCAGTTATGTGAATAAGTCATGTTAATATTACAGAACATGCACGTAGTGTATGTTCGGCTGAGTCATTCACAAATTACAACTTTGTTTAAACAATCTCTTAAATGTATTGACAGAGGAAGCCATTCTCAACGAATTATCTAGCTTATTCCATTCAAATATGGAAGAAACAATTGGGCTACACTTATAACAATCAGTGTGATTCAATCACTTACCCAGTTAATTAATTAATCAATTTACTAGTGACTTAGTCAATTAACCAGTGAATTAGTCAATAGACCAGTGAAATAGTCAATTGACCATTGAATTAATCAAATCAATTAACCAGTTTATTATTCACTAAACTAGTGAATTAATCTGTTAACAAGTGAATTAGTCAATAAACCAGTGAATTTATCAATTACTCAATTTTATAATATCCAGCCAATCAATAAATCAGCAAAAGAGTCATTGAATCTATCAAGTAATCAATTCACTCAACTGTCAATCAGTTAGAATCAATAACGTTGTCAATCAATCAATTAGTCAATCAATCAATCAATCAATTGGTCAGTTAATTAATTTAACAAATATTGCCTAATGAATTACACAGTAGTTCCATTAATCACACATTAATACATATGCAAATCATTGATCAAATAAACCCTCAAAAGATATGCAGAACAGACATTTAATCTGTAAGTCAAAAAATCCTTTTGGGTTGACAAGTTCTACAAGTTTTTGATATCTTTGAACATACGAATAGCACACTGATAGTTATTTATATAATATTGGATAGGTTTGAGTGTGATACAAGAATATATTGCTCGAGCTATGACAATATTGGACGAGTCCAGGACGAGTCTAATATTGACTTACAGAGAGCAATATGTTCTGGTATCACGCAAAAACAAAGCCATACAATATTATTATCATCTATATTAGTCTGACTAGCGAAATAACAAAATTTGACTTACCTCAGTAAATATTGCTTTTTTGTGTGTGATATTGATATCAATATTGATAGTTGAAGTTCCTGGATGACTAAACAATTCAAAACAATATTGGTCAGTCATCCAGGTACTGCGCTAAAGATATTGAATAAACTGATTTATTGTACCACTTGGAAGCCTTACATAGATAATAATAATCAATATTTAACTTTTCTCACCTCAATTTTCATCAGCCTTGGAGAGTGCATAGCCTCTAACAATTCCCACATCCTCCAAACCTCACAACATGACATCTCCTCGGACCATGCAGTGCCCCACCCTCACAACCTCAACCAGTCGCACACCAACGGCTACGACATGTCCGTCATGGGGTCAAACCTAGAGGCCACAAGGTCAAAGGTCACCAAGGCAGACAATGCTGGACTGGACAAGCTGATCGATAGAATGCAGACTGGTTTGGATGTGAGTTTTTTCATTATTATTTTTTTTAAATAATTTTTTGTGGTGGAGGGGGTAAGGAAGGGGAAGGGGGAAGGTGAGAGTGGGGTCACATCGAGAAAGGTCAAATGTTAGATAAGTGAGCTGCATTATTGGATACGATAAGATGATTTTTTGCTAGAGATGTAAAAGGTCACTAGCTGGATATTGTAAAATTTTGTATAAAATATATAAACATTTGTTTTCTGAGCATAATTCCTACAATCGTCAAATTAGTCCAGTCATTCTCACGTTGACAAGGTGACTTGAACTTTTTTTTTTCTCCCTCACAGCTCAAAGATGTAAAAGCGTCGGAGATTATGGATGTCTACGAACACAAACTTTCAGCTCTTGCAGTAAGTATCCAAAACGATAATGCTTGCTGACTGTAAGCTCAATGCAATGCCTCAGTCACACCTTTGTGTATTTGGCTTGCGTGTTGCTGCGTTTTTATGGCAAGCTGTTCTAACATTTATTCCTATTTCTTGATTTCAAGAAATTATTTTCTGTTGTAAAGCAATGGTAATTCTTGATATTAAGAATTCATTTTTTATGTCTCCGTTACGAAGTAGCCGGAGGCATTATGTTTTCGGGTTGTCCGTCCGTCCGTCCGTCCGTACGTCCCGTTCTCGTGATCGCGTTATATGAAGAACCGATTGATGGATTCCTGCCAAACTTTGATCATGTATGTATCTTGCAGAGCCGATGAACTGATTAGATTTTGGGGTCACGAGGTCAAGGTCAAAGGTCATGCGGCTCATTATGTATTCATAATAGCTTGTGATCGCATTTTCATTAGAACAGATTGATGGATTCCTGCCAAACTTAAATCATATATGTATCTTGCAGAGTCAATGAACTGAGTAGATTCTTGGGTCATTCACCCCAATTTCAAGTGTGGACAACGTCAGTCAAAAATGTGTATTGCTTTGAGATTGATAGAGAAATAACATTGATATTTGTTGAAAGAGGGGCTCATAATTAATAATCTACGGGAAAAATTGTCCAAGGATTAATTTTCTGAGGATAATATTGTACAAGAATAAAGGTAAGCCAACCACAATGCATACATTGTGATTACAGTTAACATATTAAAAGTACTGTTCCAATTGTTTCATTTCATTTTCTTTTATATTCTAGACGAAGGAGAGTCATTTGCAGGATCTACTGGAGGCAAAAGCCATGGCCCTAGCCCAAGCAGACAGATTGATTGCTCAGTATAGGTGCAGGAAGGCTCAGGCAGATAACGAGGTAAGAAAAGGGGGAACGACCCCATCGAACATATACATCAATAACATGGATGACTTGAAGAGTTTACATCAACGTAACCGCTGTCACAGTGTAATCACGTTACGAGTACTCAGTCCTGATTTAAAGAGAAGGTTGAGTTCTGGGAAGAGGTGAAAAACAATTTGTGAGCGTTATCATTGTTATCATGCAAGGGTGGAAGATCATCAGATAAAACATGTTCCTTGAAAAGCATGGCTCTTCAAATGCCTTCATATACTAAATATGGCACATACCATCGTAAAAATCAGGATGGATTTTTTCGCCATGTGCTCGTGTAGTCCTATATACATCCTTCTGTGTACAGTGCTTGTAACTTTACCAAGACTTGGCCAAATTTCTTATCATTTTGATGATTCCAGAACCTTGCAATACACACAAATATATACAGACAGATGTCTACAACACCACCTTTGTATCCTATGTTAGAGCTAAAGAAAAAAAAAGAGAACAAGAAAGTTATCGGAATTTACAGAATGCATCACAATTATTTCACAAGAGGTTTATGTTTAAGTGTCCCAATCTCCAATTCAAAATGATCACAATTCAATGATAACCCCTTCTTTGACGTAGGCTCGCAAGCTACGCTCCATGATCCAAGAGTCAGAGAAGCGGAGCGAGGAGTACCGAGATGAACTTAGCGGGAAGATGGTGGAGAAAGAGAGGATGGCCGGTGAGATGAAGAACATGATGGCTCAGATAGAGAGATTGGAAGCGGTTGCTAGGGAACACGAGAGGTTGACGACCGCTCATGCTGAACTGGGTCAGAGGTAAAACTCATTATTTTTTAATACAGTCAAACCTGCTTTAGCGACCAACTGTATAGAAAAACCACCTGTCTATAAAGACCGCATTTTTCTCTCCTTGGTTTGTCATTGAAATCTGTACAAAAGTAACCTGGAGATAGAGACCATCCGCCTATCACAACCACTTTTCACATTTTCCTTCAGCGGGCTCTATATACAGGTTTCCCCTAGTAAAGTAGTTAAAGGTAAAGACCAGTTCTGGTCATGCGATTGCATTGTGAAAGAAACGTTGTGGAATCGATCAGAAAAGGTTGATCATCTAGCATCTAGCATCTGCAAGGTTCTGGAATCATCAAAATGATAAGAAATTTGGCCCATTCTTCGTAAAATTACAAGCACTATACACAGAAAGATGTATATGGGACTACCCTATATCTCTCACAGACCATGAGAGAAACAAATTTACCAAATATATGAATTAGTAGGCGGTTTCCTGGCAAATTTTTTATCATCATGTATTAGTCAAAACATATTCTTTCACATGATTGGTAATGAGAGCTTCCATTTCATTTTTTGAAATTGGGACGTTTCCAAAACTGGTCTTTACCTTTAAAGGGCAATCCAACTCTTGTAATAAGTTGATTTGTATGAAAGCAGAAAAATATCAGAAACAGAATGGCAAAAGTTTGAAATGTTGTATTTACTTCTTGACATGTTGATTATCTCTCTGCTTGTTTACTGATTACTTTCAGGTTAGAGAGCTTGAGAGAAACCTTGGAAGCTGAGAAGCAGGAGAGAGCCAGTCTTTTAGAGCTGCATGAGATGCTGACCAAGCACAGTGAAGCATTGAAAGACAAGCATGAGACGTGAGTAGAATTTACAGTATTTTTATGACTGGCTACAATCTGCACATGGGCTATGCATGTACTGTTTACCATGAAATCTGGGGTCTGTATTGTTGTAAGAAGTTGCGATTGATTCAAATCAATCACAACTTGTTCTGGGAAGAGGTGAACAATAATTTGTGGTTATCATTGTATTATGCAAGTGTGGAAGAACGTCAAATAAAAAATGTTCCCTGAAAAGCATGGGTCTTCAAATGCCTTTATATTCTAAATATGGCATGTAACATCGGACTGATTTTTGTGCGACATGTTTGTGTAGTGCAATATACATCTTTGTGTGTACAGTGCTTGTAACTTTACCAAGACTGAGCCAACTTTCTTATCATTTTGATGATTCCAGAACCTTGCAGTACACACCAATACTTATATGCTAGATGATCAACCTGAACGATTCAACAACGTTTCTTTCACAATGCAATCGCATGACCAGAACTCAACTTTATCTTTAAGAGATAGGAATTGCAATCGTTGCAAATCAATCGCCCAAAATAAGAGTGATCGATGCCATCAATTTGGTACGGGCCTTCCCATATTGTTTTTGCTGCTTTATACGGCATGTGAAGGCAGAGGAGTTTTTGCAGTTAGGGGAATAGTGGAAATGTTCAGGCAGTTAAATACTCAAAGACAGTACTTTTTGCCAGTAACACTAATTTCGCTATCAATACAATTCAATTCAATTCATTTATTCACTCAATATATAAAAGCAGATACATAAAACTGTGTATGAACGCATATATGACAAATATACAAAGATGGACATAGTAAAATCTGAATTGAAAGCACAAGTAACATCAATTGAGTGGGGATCAGATTTAAGATCTATTCAAAGATCTTGTGAATTCGACCCCATTGTGATGTCTAAATTGCATTGAATATTGTTGCATGTACAACTACTAGGGAGAGAGAATAGATAAACAGCTGGGTCATGGAGAAACGGGAGAGAGAGATACAGACAGACATAAAGACAGAGAGGGAGAGAAAGGCAAGATGAGAAATGAAGTTAATACATAGAATGAATTTAGACCAAAGCATGTCATATAAGAGATACCAAAATCATTTCCACAGGACAATCGGGCGACTGGAAGAGCTTGAAGGACAACACAAGGGCACGGTCAAGCAGCTCCGTCTGACCGAGGGTCGTCTGGGCGAGCTCCAGGAGGAGCTGAATGAGACGGAGAGCACTCTTAGGAAGACCGAGAGGGAGAGAGAAGAACTGGAGGCTGCCATTGATAAGCTGAGAGGAGAGCTGGCCAAGGCAGAGCAGGCCAAGAAGAAACTCTCTCAACAGGTCAGATGCTAATTAAATTTTTTTTTTTTTTAAATCAATTTTTTGGGGGTCCAAATTACCTTCCACCATGGTAACCATGATAGACATGGCATCAAACAATGAAATTATCATTGATTATCATTGTTTGATACCATGGTTACCATGGTGGATGGTAATTTGGACAAAAAACCATGGTTACCATGGTTCTTTTTTATTCCCACCCTACTGAATTTTATTGCTAGAGGCCGTTTTTACAAAGCAACACTGTGGCAAAAGATATTTTCAATTCAAAAGCAATTCTATTACACACAGCGTACCACAAGGTTCTATCCTAGGTCCTCTACTGTTTTTATTTTACATTAATGATCTTCCTTATTCTTCTGAAAAATTTAATTACATTATGTACACTGACGACCAAAAGTATAATTCTTTATTATGGTCATCATTTCTTTGGAAAAGCTTCTGCTGAACTTTGGAACAAACTACCCTTACATGTCAAAAACTGTCAACCAATTCTAAATATCTGCGAAACAAGCGTAACATCTTTAGCCTTGTTACAAATGTGGATGGGATTAAAGATGTGAATAAGACTTATTTTGTAAGATATAATCAAATTCTTGGATTTTTCTTTTGTTTCAGGTGTCGAAGCTTGAGACAGATTGCCGGCAGCAGAAGAGCACCATAAGAGAGAAGGACGCCCTCATCAGTCAACAAAAGGAACAGCTTAGTCAACAACAACAACTGACTCTCATGATACACAGTCTGACTAGTAAACAACAACAAGAGAAATAATTGTGGTTGTTTGTTCCATATCTTTGCCCCGATGGGCAATTTTTATTTTTTACAACAAATACATGAATTCACAATTAAATTTTATACAACCAATGTCAAAACAATATTTGTATACATCATTCAAACAAGTGCTTCAACAAAAGGCATCTTAAAGTGAATTAATTTCTTTGTCCATTTATATCATTAATGTACTGCTCACCCTTATAATATGTCTTTATCATATTTATTATTTTATGAAAAACAGGAAATGTCTTATTAACTCTAGAAAAAAAAATTGTTGCCTTACAAGTGCTGTAATTCAAGAGAAATAATGTCTCACAGTCTGTCATCATAACTGCATTTTCTTCACAGAAAATCGCATATTATGTATGGTACAATGACGCCTTACCTATTTAACATGAATGACTTAATCCCAATAGGGTTTCACACTTGTCCTGTAGAATGTACATAATATATTCACAAACTAATTTGGTACTTCAGGGAAATAAAAAAGAGTGTTTTGAATTGTTTTGAATTGATTCCAGGACAACTCCCTCCACTCAAGGTTAAAAGAGCATACACCAATAAATGCCTTATCCATTGACACTAGCATTCTGCCTTCGTCTAAAACAAGAGGAACCAGACGGAAGGAGAGAGAGAGAGAGAGAGAGAGAGATGGGGATAAAAGAGAAGAATTGTTATTTTTGCTAGTTGATAATTTATTTATTTTCACCATATGAATTATTGAAATTTCCTGTCCACTAGCATTACACAGACATACAACCACTGCAATGTATGATGAAAACCAAAATATTGAAGCACAAACAAAGAAGAAATTATTGTACATTTTTGTCATTGTATTTCACGCTTTCTTTGATGACATGAAATCAGGTATCTTGGTAAAATTGTAGAAAAGCCTCAGAAGCTCTGCACACTAGAGTTAAGACCCTATTATTTTTTGTCTTGGTCAATTTAAACTGCTGATTGTCAAAGAATGTGCCTCATTTTTTAATTGATATTTATATGGATCTAAATGTTCATACTTTGTAAATATTGTACACATCTATTACCAGTATTTCGTGCAAAAATTATATGTAAGCATTAATAGATGTCATTGAAATATGATATTCATGTGTACATATTCATATTGTAATTACAGCATGTATATCATAATGGAATAAAGCTGTATTTCTATGTGTCAATGGTCCTGTTTGTTGCAATTTTGTACATGAATTCTAATAAGTAACTATGACAGTGCAGACAAGCTGAGGGAGTGAAGAGAGATAGGGAGGGAGACAGACAGAGAGAGAGGTAGAGAGAGGTACGGAGTGAGACAGAGAGAGGGGGAGGTAGGGAGAGAAACAGACACAGAGAGAGGTAGGGAGGGAGAGAGAGAGAGGGGTAGGGAGGGAGACAGACAGAGAGAGAGAGAGGTAGGGAGGGAGACAGACATAGAGAGAGAAGTAGGGAGGGAGACGTACACAGAGAGGGGTAGGGAGAGAGACAGAGAGATAAGGAGGGAGACAGACAGAGAGAGGTAGGGAGGGAGACAGACAGAGAGAGAGGTAGGGAGGGAGACAGACATAGAGAGAGAGGTAGGGAGGGAGACATACACAGAGAGGGGTAGGGAGGGAGACAGAGAGATAAGGAGGGAGAGAGAGAGAGAGAGGTAGGGAGGGAGACATACACAGAGAGGGGTAGGGAGGGAGACAGAGAGAGAGAGAGCGAGAGGTAGGGAGGGAGACAGACAGAGAGAGAGGGAGGGAGGGAGACATACACAGAGAGGGGTAGGGAGGGAGACAGACACAGAGAGAGGTAGGGAGGGAGACATACACAGAGAGAGGTAGGGAGGGAGACAGACGCAGAGAGAGGTAGGGAGGGAGACAGACACAGAGAGAGGTAGGGAGGGAGACAGACACAGAGATAGGTAGACAGAGAGTGAGAGAGAGAGAGAGAGAGAGAGAGATAGGGAGGGAGAGAGAGAGAGAGGTAGGGAAGGAGACAGAGAGAGAGAGGGAGAGGGACAGACACAGAGAGAGGTAGGACGGGAGAGAGAGAGAGGTAGGGAGGGAGACATACAGAGAAAGAGAGAGGTAGGGAGGGAGACAGAGAGGTAGGGAGGGAGACAGACACAGAGAGAGGTAGGGCGGGAGAGAGAGAGGTAGGGAGGGAGACATACAGAGAGAGAGAGGTAGGGAGGGAGACAGACACAGAGAGAGGTAGGGCGGGGGACAGACACAGAGAGAGATAGGGAGGGAGACAGAGATAGGTAGACAGAGAGTGAGAGAGAGAGAGAGAGAGATAGGGGGGAGAGAGAGAGAGAGAGGTAGGGAAGGAGACAGAGAGAGAGGAAGGGGGACAGACACAGAAAGAGGTAGGATGGGAGTGAGAGAGGTAGGGAGGGAGACATACAGAGAGAGAGAGAGAGAGAGAGGTAGGGAGGGAGACAGAGAGGTAGGGAGGGAGACATACACAGAGAAAGGTAGGGAGGGAGACAGAGAGAGAGAGAGGGAGGGAGACAGACACAAAGAGAGGTAGGGAGGGAGACAGACAGAGAGAGAGAGGGAGACAGACACAGGGAGAGGTAGGAAGGGAGACAGAGAGAGAGAGGTAGGAAAGGAGACAGAGAGAGAGAGGGAGGGACAGACACAGAGAGAGGTAGGGAGAGAGAGAGAGAGAGAGAGAGAGAGGGAGACAGAGAGAGGTAGGGAGGGAGACAGACACAGAGAGAGGTAGGGAGGAAGACAGACAGAGAGAGAGAGAGAGAGAGAGAGAGGGAGAGACAGAGAGAGAGGGAGAGAGAGACAGACACATGGAGAGGTAGGAAGGGAGACAGAGAGAGAGGGAGGGAGACAAACACAGAGAGAGGTAGGAAGGGAGACAGAGAGAGAGGTAGGGAGGGAGACAGACACAGTGGGAGAGAGAGGGAGGGAGACAGACACAGACAGAGAGAGAGAGGTAGGGAGGGAGACAGACACAGAGGGTGAGAGAGGGAGGGAGACATACACAGAGGGAGAGAGAGGGAGGGAGACAGACACAGAGAGAGGTAGGAAGGGAGACAGACAGAGAGAGAGGTAGGGAGGGAGACAGACAGAGAGAGAGGTAGGGAGGGAGACAGACACACAGAAAGAGAAAGAGAGGGAGACAGAGAGAGAGAGAGAGAGGGAGACACAGAGAGAGGGAGGTAGACAGACACAGGGAGAGGTAGGGAGAGAGAGAGAGAGAGAGGTAGGGAGGGAGACAGACACAGTGGGAGAGAGAGGGAGGGAGACAGACACAGACAGAGAGAGAGAGAGGTAGGGAGGGAGACAGACACAGAGGGTGAGAGAGGGAGGGAGACATACACAGAGGGAGGGACTGTCGATCTTAAGGTCCGCGGTTCGAGTCTCGCCGCGGCACTAATGTCCTTTGGCAAGACATTGATCAAAATTTGCCACACTCAACCTAGGTGATGTAAATGGGTACCTGGCAGGAATTATTCCTTGAAATGCTAGAGCGCCGCAGTAGCTAGCTGCCTTGCTAAAGCCAGGGTAATGATCGCGCCAGGAGCGTCACAACGTGACGGACATGTGCGGTATAAAAGAAGCCACCATTATTATTATTAAAAGGAAAAAAAGGATATACATGAAAGCCGTGGAGAAAGAGAGAAGTGAAATTAAAGTTGAATCTACTTTGGGATAGTAAACATATCGTGCGACTGGAGCGACTCAATTCCTGTTAACTTAAAGAGAAGGTTGAGTTCTAGGAAGAGGTGAAAAATAATTTGTGTTATCATTGTTATTATGCAAGTGTGGAAGAACATCAGATTAAAAATGTTCCCTGAATGCATGGCTCTTCAAAGTGCCTTAATATTCTAAATATGGCATGTAACAGCATGAAATTTGGGCCGGATTTTTTTATGACACATGTTCTTGTAGTCCCATATACATATTTCTGTGTACAGTGCTTGCAACTTTACCAAGACTAGGCAAATTTCTTATGATTTTGATGATTCTAGAACCTCGCAGTACACACCAATACTTGTATGATAGATGATTTACCTTTTCTGATCGATTCCACCGTTTCTTTCACAATGCAATCGCAATACCAGAATTGAACTTCAGCTTTAAGCTTTTTAACCAGATAGTTTCAAGGCGGTGTTATATGTAGATCCGCGAAAGATTATCTTTCAAACTAAATGGTTACACACACTAAAGTGTCAGTGACACGTGCTTGTGGGCACGTGATTGTTTGTACAAGTGCCTGTACATGAAGGGGATGGTCGCCGTATTTGATATACATGATAATACCTGCAGTGATTAATGCGCACAAGCCTGAAAAGTCCTATTAAAAGCATTACCTTTCAAGTGCGAATATATCCCCCGCCCCACTCAGTGTTATGTTGGGTACGCATATGCCAGCTTGTTCCCTCTTTTTGAAAGCACCCCCTATCTGAGGGTTGCCAACATTTCCGAACCCCCCTTTCGGCTTTTCGCGGGCTTTTCCTGCATTGGAGACCCCCCTAAATCATGAAAAATGCTCAATGTACCCCCCTGAATTCAGAATAATTTCTCAGGAGTCCAAAGAGATGAGAGAAAAAAAGAAAAAACACCCCCTTTTTAAAGAAATCTCCGGGTGAAAAGTTAATACACCCCTTTTTTTTTTTTTTACAATTCTCGGGCCGGACTTTGTCGCACGAAAAGTACCCCTTTACCGGACATTTTGGTAACACGCATGGGGTCCGTCCGTTCTCGGAGTGTGGGGGGGGGGGGGGGGGGGATATATACCCCTTCTATCCATATTGCTATTAATGAGGATACTTATTATCTAATCGAAATCAATGTAAATAATTTCACGAATGTCTCGCATTGGATATGGACATATTTATCACTTGAGGTGTGAGGAAACGTTATATCATCAGAGAGAAAAATAATTAAACAAAATAAAGAGGGCGTGCCCCCTGATCGAAATTCAGTAGATAAAAAACAGAAAGACGGTGGGGGAGAGATTGGGACTTCAAGCATCACCCTCTACTCAATTGGTAGCCATTTCATCCGCCAAATAAGATCGGTGCCATCCGCTGGTGCCAGCACCCCTCCCCCATTTCTTGGCTTACAACGCCCACGCAGCGCCATTGCAACTCAAGACCTCTCAAAAGTTTATTGTTTAATCTAAAAAATGAAACTAATGCATATACGCTCGCTCATAAATAAACAAACCACTCCAATATAAATGAAATAAAATCCATCAGGCCATACAGTCAAACTGGACACGGACAGATGG